TACAGAGGTTTGGCTATATCTGCAAAGTTCTTCACAAATCGCCGGTAATAGGAGCACAAACCCAAAAATGCTCTAACCTGCGTCTTGTCTTTTGGAACCGGCTAATTCTTTACAGCTGCGATTTTCTCTGGATCCGTGCGGATACCTTCTTCCGACACTATATACCCCAAAAAGTTGACTTGCCGTTTGAATAGTGAACATTTCTTCGGACTCAACTTGAGGTTGGCACTCTGAATCTTCATGAGCACGCGTTCCAGGTTTTGAAGGTGTTCCTCAAACGTACGGCCCACGATGATGATGTCATCCAAGTAGACCAGACAGGCATCGCCAATTAGCCCGGTAAGTACAAGTTCCATCAGCCTTTCAAACGTTGCTGGAGCATTGCACAACCCAAACGGCATTACTTTAAATTGCCACAGACCCTTTCCCGTTGAGAACGCAGTTTTCTCCTTGTCCTTAGGGTCAATTTCAACTTGCCAGTAGCCACTTTTTAGATCCAGCGTGCTAAACCATTTTACTCCTGTAAGCATGTCCAGCGTGTCGTCAATTCTTGGCAAGGGATAGCTGTCCTTCTTAGTAACGTCGTTCAGACGGCGGTAGTCAACACAAAACCGCATGCTGCCGCATTCTTCTTTACCAGTACCACGGGTGAACACCATGGACTAGATGAAGGTTCAATAACACCATCCTTCACCATTCCCTCAATCATGGTTTCCACTTCCTTTTCACGTGCTACCGGCAATCTTCTTGGCCGCTGACGGATAGGCAATTCTTCACCTGTGTTTATTTTGTGTTGAACTAAGCCAGTCTTTCCTATGTCAGCATCGTTTGATGAGAATACATCGGCATACTTGAGTAACAACTTCTTCGCTTTGACCATTTCATTCGGGGAGAGAACGCTGCGACAGTCTTCTAAAAGTGTGCTCACTCTAGTTTGTGCATCCTTGATGTTGGTCCCAGTCGATAGATATTGGCACCGACGTAACCAATCCACTTCCTTACAAGTAGCAACCAGTGTGCCTTTTTCTATAATCTGTTCCTGGCCACAAAGGTTCAGTACACGTACTCCTGAGATGTTAGTGTTTCTGACCAAGGTTCGAGCCACTTTCCATGGAAGGTCATTTTCTAACCTTTCCACGAGTACACAACGATGAGGTTGCCCAGGATTCCGAGGAAGACTAACCGGCACAAACGTTTCCGATCTCGGCGGAAGAACAATCTTCTCAAGGCTGTACACGTTCCCTGGTAACGCTCCTTCCACAAAAAGTTCCTCTTGTCCACATTTCAAGACACCTTGCTTAACGTCAATCGCACAACAATTCTTCCTCATGAAGTCTAGGCCCAGGATGCAGTCGTCCATTATATCAGCCACGATGACATTATGCAGGTAGATCATGTTGCCTAGCTTCAACTCCATCTCTTTCTCTCCACGGACGGGTATACGCTGACCGGTGGCTGTTACCAAATTAATGCGTTCTCGGTTGTATGCGGAGTCCCCAAGGAACTGCCTTATAAGTTGGGAACTAACAACCGTACGAGAGGCTCCAGTGTCTATGGTCAGTTTACACGGCATTCCGTTGACCTCGCCCTTGATGATTAGACTGTTCCCATCGTGGGTTTGTGAGATCGAGATGCTTGGGGCTCTTTTAACGTAAGCCAGCACCCGCCCCGCAGTTCTGGCTTTTACTCGTTTCCCTGCTGCTGCTGGGCGGTGCTGTTGGCCGCACTACCCTCCTGAGATCGTTCACCTTCCCTTTCTAGGGTTCGCTTAGGGCAGCTGGATCGAAGATGGCCCTTTTCCCCACAGCCATAGCACCTAGGGCTGTATCTTTTGTTGCGGTCGCGAACTGTAGCTGCTGCAACCTCCCTGACGCGATGGGAACGATAATTCTGCCGCACGGCTTCCACCTCCAGTGCATGGGCCAAGGCGTCCTTAAGCGTCTCGTGGTGCCCGAGCCTCACAGCAGCTCTGACTTCCAGGTCACGGATGCCGTCAGAATGTCTGCACCAGGTTCCCTTCAATGAGCGCAGGTACAGACCGGTATGCTTTTCGCACCAGCTTCTCCACCTCTAGAGCCCACTGCTGCAGGTTTTCGTTGATGCGCTGCACGCGATCTTTAAGCTGCGCACGAAAGACGTGTTCCAGGTGAGCGTCGCCATATCTCGCCTCCAATGCCTCAAGGAGTTGTTCATAAGTCACTTCCTCACCAAGAGCTTCCAGAACTGTTAAGGCCTGGTCGCGCAGGCCTAGTGTGAGAGCAGTCATGGCCTGACTTTTATTCCAGCCGTTCGCCTTCATAACAGCCTCGAACTGGATTTTGTAGGCCGACTAGGAAGAAATCCCGTCGAACGGCGGCACTTTGAATCCACGTAGCGAAGGTGCTGTAGCTACTACGGGAGCTGTAGCTCCATCTCCAAGTTTGAGTTCGTCCAGTGATTTCTTCATGTCAGCCATTACGTTGTCAACCCGATTGTTTACTTGGTCGATTCGGGTTTCAGCTTTCTCGATTCGTGTTTCAGCTTTCGCGATTTGGGTTTCAGCTTCTGACAGGCGGTTGTCATGCTGAGCAACCCTATCCTTCACCTCCTTGATCTCCTTCCCGAAGGTAGCGTGAAGATCCTTCATGAGGAGCATCTGCTCTTCCAACCGACGGGCCCGTTCCTCTTGTCCGTCCCGCAGGTGCTCTTCCAAATGACGGACCTGTTCCTCTTGTCCGCCCCGCAGCTGCTCTTCCAATCGACAGACCTGTTCCTCTTGTCCGCTCTGCAGCTGCTCCTCAATTGACGGACCTGTTCCTCCTGTCGGCGAGCCTGTTCCTCTTGTCGCAGCGAGCCTGTTCCTCCTGTCGGCGAGCCTGCTCCTGCAGCATCACCATCAGAGCACCTAAGTCAGGTGCTGCAGATGTAGGAGCTACTGACGGGCCTGCAGCCGGCGGCTGGCCCTCCGACGTCTGCGGCGTTGCACCACCAAATCTTCTTTGGTCCGTCTCCTGCTGGCGTTGACTTCGGGTACGGACACCCTCCGTTTCCTTCTTAGGTAAAATCGGCATGATTTTATCCCACTTCTGATACCAATTGTTACGAGCTTGAGGTTCGTGACAATAAAAATTGCCGATAGAATTACCTAAATTAACACTTTAATTTTCTTTACACCAATTAAAACTTAAAACACTAATAATTAATCACACTGTTTCACTTTATTCCGCTCCGAAGCTTCGCTTGTCTCGCCGGATTCAATCTTCCCTGATCGCATCTTGCAGCGCCTATTTATATAAATTAGCAGCGAAATATCCAGAATATTCAAGTAAACACGCGCAAGGTACCGAGAGTTCGTGTTTCAACTTCAAGAAGTTTAGTTCTTCGGTTCGAGACTAGATGGCGCTAGTGCAGTCAACTTGAGCGCGTAACACTATTTATGCGGATGATACAAACGCGATTGTATCTGCTAACTCGATAGACGAACTAAATACCAAAATGAAAAGCACACTGTATGACTTTAAAAATTGGTTTGCTACTAACGATCGTCTACTAAATACAAATAAAACATACGCAATGCTTTTCAAATCTACAGCAAGATAAAAGGACTCAATAAACATTAACATTGACGGTAAAAATATTGACTCTGTTCAATCAGTAAAATTTCTAGGAATCCACATTGACATGTATTTGAACTGGAAAAAGGAAATGAAAGCACTAGAATCTACTATCAGTTCAGCATGCTATGCCTTAAGAAGTTTACGAGACGAAGTTACGTTAAAGCAGCTTAAGTTGGTTTATTTTGCTCTAGTAGAATCAAAACTTCGTTATAGCATATATTTCTGGGGCAACAGTTATAAATATAATACATATTAAGACAGCGTTTGTATTACAAAAAAAGAGCGATCCGCACCATGTTACGTATTCCACAAATTGAGTCATGTAAAGAACATTTTCGAAAACTTACGGTTCCCTCTCTGTATATCTTAGTTTTACTTACATATTTAGAAATTTTTTTTACAAATATGAAACAAACGAAGAAAGGAAAAAGAGAGAAATGACACGTCGAAAAGATTTGAAAACTTCAATTACACCAACATTGAATGTTGTACGCCAGAGCACAAGGCATCAAGCCATTGTACTATTTAATTCTTTGCTTATCTCATTTAAAGTTATTTATTGCCACCAAAAATTCCAAAATAAACTCAAATCACTATTAATTAAGAAAAGCTACTACTCAGTTGACGATTACCTAAATGACAAAAATAAACTTAATGAATGTTAATTTTTTTGTTTGTTTATGTACTGCTTAGTATATTACAATCTATTATGACATGAAAAATATTTAATTATGGTATGAAAAGTATTAAATGTAGAATGATTGTCAATTGATATTTAAATTTTATTCGATTTTAGTTTTATTTAAGTCAATTACATGTAAACGTAACTCTTCATTTTGTGAAATTAATTTTCCAACACAATGTAATATTGTTCTATGGAATAAATGACTATGACTACATCTAGTGGAGGGTTGCCCTACACTTAGATAACCAGTATCAGAACCATTGTTTATCATCGGTTGTCGGTTCTTCGAGCTATATAGCCCGCCCATTGCCAATTATTCTTAATAATAATATGTCCAAAAACATCTCTACAATATGTGGAAGTATCACATTGTGACAACTAAGCCAGCAGACAGTCTGACGATACATAACAGTATCTAAAGGTTTTATGGCGCCTAAACGGACAAAATAACTTACTGTTTATTTCAACATGTCCCGTTGTTTCCACTAATTATTCACATGCGCAGATACAATACACAAAAAGACATAACTTTCACGTATCGAAACGCCATTACTGGGGAGGCCTATGTTCAGCATACTTGAAGGGCTGTAATGATGATGATGATAATGATCGAAATATACTTCAAAGGGTCAAGTTCCTACCAAAACTGCCAGAAATTTTATTAATACCGATTTAGAACCTTGTGTAAAAGCAATATAGTAGAAAATGGCGTACCTTACCTCTGTCCGCATGCGTGGCGAGGAGCGTGAGATCGGTGGAGAGCGCAGCAGCGTGGCGCAGCGCTTCGCAGAGAGCATCGAGGGTTGTATGTGATGTCATCGCTGTAGTCAGCCGCTGCGGACGAGACCCGTCGCTCAAAACGCGCACGTACCCGTGCATAAGGTTCAATGCTGCGAGCTTGCGCCCCGAGTCTATAACGTAAAGCGTAAAATGAACTTGACGACCCTGTGGCACATTGACTCAGTAACGAGTTGCAGCGTTGAGGGCTGCAGGTTTAAATCCAGCATAAGTATATATACAAATAATTGTTGCGGGTCTGGATGTTTGTCCTTAAGAAATAGAAGGATGTAAACAAAGCAGGGAAAAATTCTAGTGTGAGAGTTATCTGTTAGATTTCGTAACGATAGTGATAGTGCTCGTAATTGTGGGGGGAGCAAGGTGCTCTTCAAAGTAATTTATTTTTTAATTATTCACGTAGGCCTCCTCTAAGGAATGCAACAAAGCACGGTCTTGAGTTAACAATATCCATATCGACTTCTTTCATTTCTTACCAGGTCGTCATAACACCTAGTGAGGGGCTGTGTTCACCTATAGTCAAAATAATTATATTCATAAATTATGTAAGCATAGGAATAATAAAGAAGAAATTAAACTAACTTTAATATAATTCTTTTCAGTGATTCAAATCTTTAAATTTAAAATTCGAATCTACCACGTTTTTACTCCAGGTTACATAAATGTTTTTAATCCGATCCTGCTCACTCAATGTAATATATTATTTATGAAACATTTGACAGATAATACAGCAACATTTTGCTGTTAAACCAATTAAACAATTTGGCTATAAGCGGTTAACTATGTGTGCGTGTAATAAATTAGGAAATGTATGCCTTTTTTGATGTTGCTGTCATTTAAAAAATGGATGTATAAAAGAGACAAATTTTTGGATTCTGAAAAATATTTTAGTATTATTTAAGTATTTACACATGTAACAATCGAGTACCATAGAAGAATGTGCAGAGCTAAAAACTTTTTATAAAATGAGGGTGACAAATGAGCACACAGTCCACCTGATGATAAGTGGTTGCTGTAGCCCATAGACATGAACATCTAATCTCGATTACGAATCAAAATATAGATGCGTTGTCACCCGTGAGGGCTAAGATGTAGTGCCTTCTTTCCAGTAAGAACGGTCTCCGGTTCTCTACACTCACCATACGAAAACACAGCGTTAACCTATTCTGGTAGAGGCCACTACCACGTATAATATCTACCCCTAATATACCTACCGATATTATTTAGAATCCTTGGCAGATTTGTTAGAGTCGTGAGAAAGTTCTCGCAAAGACAATCCATAGTGTCGAGCCTCTTTTCCTGCGAAGCTTCTGTAAAGTAGGCGTTCACTACACTAGTACAGTACTCAAATAATTCGGGATATTCGTCCTTCGCCAATGATATTAAAATGTCAAGAACTACTGGTATAGAAGGCTGCATTGATCTGAAATATCACGAAAATACAATGACATGTCGTTTTGCCTTTTTTTATAGAATAAGGGTGACAAACGTGCATACAGTCTACCTGATGATAAGTGCATGCTGTGGATCCATAGACATCTTCATTTATCCTCAACTAAGAATCAAAATATAGATGCATTATCAAACCTGAGTACAAAGATGGAATCCCAAGCAACACACAAGTGTTATGAACATCAATATACCAGCCCACATAGAACTTACAGTTCTTTTATAAGCGAAAAAGAGTGTATAAAAGAGGTTATATCCTTATAAGAGTGACTTATAAGTTATTATACAGCTCACGCTGTATAAAGTATGTATTGCGGGATCCAAGTAACCTTAGGGTTCTTAATCAGAATAACAGAATATGAAAACTCTAGTATACAACTTTAAGTATTTTGTAACACTTGAATCTGATTTTATCATTAAAGCTGTATAGAAGCTGTTTTTTGCTTGCTGTCACTTGCTTATTACTGGTCTAAGTGTTATTATAGTATCACTCAAATCTTGTTTCTGAACAATGGTGTATGCAAACTGCCTTCCGAAACTTATTTTTATGGTGTAATTTTACACTCATATAAATACAGTAGTCTTATTAGTTCTGTCTATGAGGCTGATATAAAACTAAAAAAAAACAGCCATAGTACAATTACAAGCTGTATAAGTGATAGAATATCACTTTTCTACATGCATTGCGTGTTTATATTGTGCTAGTGAACGAAATTAATTTGTTATCAATACGTTGAAAAAAGAAAAGGATTTAGCGCAATTAGATCATGTAAAATCTAAATAATAGTTATCCAGCACTGTTCCCAAGGCAATGTTTTTTATCTTTTATACATATCGCTAAAGATAATTAAATGTTCTTTTGAAAAAACTGCTACATATCGTAAGTAATAAAAATATCCTATTATACAACTGATTAAAAATCAATGGCTGTATGATAGAATCCATAACATACATAGTACAGCTGCTAAGACTATAATACCTTCGAAATAGCGTTTAGGCTGTTTAGTAAACTGTCGCCATTTTAGGATCCATATAAATAAAATTTAAAATATAATTTTAGGAATATTAGACATTATTTTTAGCTAATACCATTATTTTCAGCGTGCCCCAATGTGCTTTCATATCCATTAATTAATTTATTTTTTATTCTAACCTATACAACCGATATTAAGTGACCATATTTAGTATTTTATCCTTATATTATTTGGTTATTTTCCTGCCGCGTCAATTTTTTGATGGAATACATATACAAGTTGACCGTAAATATAATTTTGTACTTTCAATTCATCAACTATCACCGCCAAAACTCAACTCCAATTCGAATATAATATTAACATATTAAATATATTTTTTCCCTGACATTAAATGTCGCCATCATTCAATAAAGTATATAAATAATTTAGAACGCTTATATTTAAAAGTTACTTAGCACAATATATTAGTGTAATATTTCCTTTGAACACCGAATAACAGCAGTAACACAGCTATCATACATACTCTTTTATGCTTGTACAGTTGCTGTACAGCGCTACTAACGCATAAAGTTGTATAATTTGTGCCAATTTTTTACTTATAAGAACTGTATAAGCGCTTACACAGCCTTTATACAGCCAAAAAATACACCTCGAGTATAATAATGAACTTTAATACAGCACGTCACTGCTTGCGTGCTACTTGGGATGCCTCGTTTCCAGTAAGAAGGGTCTCCGGTTCTCATACGAAACACAGCAGTATTAAGCTGCTATTTTACGCTGGTATTTTGTGAGAGCGTGGTACTACCCCGGTCAAGGCTACATATTCGTACTGCGACCATAATATAGCTTCAGGGTGGCTCTAGCACGTAAAAACTGGATTATAACGCAAATGGTTTATATCTGTATTATATTTTTTCTGCTTCTTGCCACAGGTCTGAGTATTTACATAATATGGAAAGATCATAGAATACTATAATACATACATAATAGAACAGGGGAGTGGGCTGTGCCCGTGTAGCCACTAACGTGGCCACACCTATAAATAAATGTCTCTTTTGACGTCACAGTTGCTACCAAATTATTGTTTCACGCGTTGCTGGGTGCAATTTATTTCAGATGTGGAATTTGAATAAGTGGTATATTCTAGTCAATCGAAACTATGATATTAATGTGTAAAAACAACAGTACTACGAATGTAACAAAATTTTACTGATACCGGTAAACCGGGAAATATTATCGCTTTTGAAATTGTACTTGATATAATGTCAAACTAAATAGATGCAATCAAATATGGCAAATGTAATAATATAATTACTTACGAATATATTTTTATATTTTTCATTAAATTGTAATTTTGTTCCCTCTATAGAATCTTTGATCTTATGATATCTCAATCTATATCAATAAAAATTAACTTTTAATAAAGTTTTTAGATTCAATTTTCTGATTACGTATTATTTCTACATACTATATTATTGTTCACTTCATGTCTAATCACCCAAAATTGGGTTTGCGTACTCATTTTGTGTAAAAAGTAAAAAAATGTATTTCATAATATCTAATTTCATACTTTTGCTTCCAATTTTGCCCTAGCCTGGTGTTGGCTTACCAATACTCTATTATTTACTACTATTAGTACTTTTGAAATAAGATAAAGTATATTTTTATTTACATGAACTATTTTAACAGTTTTCCTGGAGATTTGAAAAACAAAATATGGATAGTAGCCACGAGAAGGCTTAACTGGATGCCGACGAAAAATAATTACATTTGCTCAAATATTTTTTTCAGACTGACTTCTTATCCATACATCACAATAGATATTTAAAAGTTATAACCTATTCCACTGCTGGGCACAGGCCTCCTCTCATTTCTGAGAGGGTTTTGGGTCAAGGAAGTGTACGCCACGCTGTACCAATGCCTGTTGGCGAACTTCACATGTTTTCGAAATATTTTTTTCCTTATTTCTCAGACATGCAGGTTTCCTTACGATGTTTTCCTTCACCGCTGACACGTAGTACAAGAGATATTTGAAGGAAAATACAAACCGGAAAGCATGTAAAGCCGTCGGTTGGTGGTGGTTTTTTCGCATATAATGTCAATGACCTTAAACGTTCCGTGTAAGTAGGCCTCTCAGTACTAGTAACTGCCTACTAATGCAAGATCAGCATATACTGGATACGTAAAAACGTGTTCGATAAAAGAAACAGATTTAAAATAGCACTTCTCATTGCCACTTTTTGCCACTTTTTTTGCCACAATTGCCACAACCATTACATCAGATTTGATAGACCACAAATCCTCGCGAAAGAACACCGATTCCTACCAAGGATGATACGTGAGGCTATTGAAATTAAAAAACATCCTAATTTCAATAGAGGAGGCTGGGTACTACCACCTGCTTGGGATCCTATAATCAATAAAATTAAAACTAAACCCAAGCATACCACTGCATGACCTCAGGACATAGTCAGTTCATTTTGCATAGATCGGACCATAAACAATAATTAAAAAAGCTGAAGGTACTCCGGGTTTAACAATGACATCGGGACGTCAGTCATCTCAGTCCCCCATGACCATGGGTGCTGGAAAGCACCTGAAACGTCGGGAATTAAAAATAAAAGTAAATAAAAAGTAAAAATAAACGCGATAAAATCCGTAAAAGTAGTTTTAATCACTAATACTTTGTGCTTCTTCTGTGTACACTAACGTTCGGCCCACAAATAAGTCTAGAGGTGTTAGGTCTGGTGATCTCGCCGGCCAGTTCACAGGTCAACCGCGACCTATCCACCTATTACCGGATTGGCTCATCAATGTTAGATATTCGACATTAGAGTAATGGTACATGTTTACGATACACACACGGAAACATAAACAATACGACGACGACATGACTTAACGCCATGGGTAACTACAGATAAATGAAATGAGAGTTGAAGGCTCGGGCGACTTTGCCTTTGAGCCGTTTGTGACCGTGCGAAAGGACATTGACAAAGATGCCTACAAAATTTATTGTTTTATTGCTGTTCGTAAAGTAGGGTGGTTAAGATTTGAATTTCGATAGATTTTAATTGATTTATTTATTTAATTCAAAAACTTTGTTTTTATTTTTTGTAAAATATCATGGCATAAGTTTCTACTCAGTTCACCTGTTACACCCTATTTTTTTCTAGACGGTAAAAATAGTCATCCAGTATACTAAAGTTTGCTTAATAAATAATTGCATCTTGTACGTGTACAAAAAACTTTATTTACAATAAGAAAAAATAATACTTACTGTGATTGTATTTGCAATTAGTTTGCACAGTATTTACAAATAAATATGTATTAAAATTTAAACGATTTACTTTCTTTAATGATGATTATGAACATCGATCAAAAGTCTAAAATGTGCAAATTCGCTTAGTCTGTCAACACAGTTATTCCTTCTCTTTCTTTTCAGAAAGAGACGGTCTGTAAAGATTCGTTGCGATTCCGTTATTATTGCCTTGGAATAGTCTGATTTTATGGAATATTAAAATGAGTTTGTAACATTTACTTATTGAAATTAGGTTTGTTAATTGGGTTTCTAGTAGACAATACGACGTAATCGCTTGCATATTATTGCGCGCCTAGGTTGACGTAATGTACCCGGCACTAGCGCCATCTAGTGTCGGGGACGAGAGCGAGGAGGGTTTCCTAGAAAATGTCAATTTTCTCTTTCGACCAACAGCGCCATCTAGTATAGAACAGTAGAAATAAGCTTTCTGGAAGCCCCACACTCGAACTTTCTGCGCCTGGTCGGTTGGCGCGCGTATTTACTTGAATATTCTGGACGTTTCGGTGAAAAAGGCGTATTTAAAGGAGCTGCAATACGCGATTGGGGTATTGAATTTGGCGAGACAAGCGAAGCTTCGGAGCGAAATAAAGTGAATCAGTGTGATTAATTATTAGTGTCTTTTAAGTTTTAATTAGTGTAAAGTAAATTAAAGTGTTAATTTTGGTAATTCAATCGGCAGTTTTTATTGTCACGAACCCTAAGCTCGTAACAATATGTACTACCTTCGACACCGGTTCTCGTACATTATAGGGTTGGCAGCCATTCTATTGTGTATTATAGTAGTATTCTATAGGAAATATGTACTTCCTTCAATTTTGAGGTATATGTAATGACCCATCTATAACAGGGAATGTCCTCTTCAAAATATTTTGAAGAGATACAGTCCATAGGACTGGTTTATATCCAGCTTAAAAGATCTAAGAAATAGAAAGCTAGATATTTTTATTATATTAAAATACAATTAAAAATATTGTAAACACTGCGACACCACAAGCGGAAATAGCAAATGAACAATCTTTTTTATCATTTTTCATGGTATAACTTCAGCCTGGTCAGAGTCTAACCGTTGCAATAATGAATAATAAAATAATATTGTTATAAAAACTAATATTTTAGCACATTAATATTTATTTCTTTACATTTTGAACAAAAATGGCTAATCTCTCCAATTTAAGAATACGTTATCTATAGGGTACAGTAAAGATTCTAAGGAAATCTAATTAATCACGCTTCTTTGCGAGCTCTTACGAGGTTTTCAACTGTGGAGAGGAAGTATTGATGAATATGTGAACTTTTTATACAAATATGTTCCGAGAAGCTGAATCTAAATACAACAGATTGGTGGTAAGATTCAAGCAATTCCCGCTCCCATTCAAATATGGGCCACTTTTCAAGAAATGTGTGCTAACGTTTTCTTGAAATTATACTGATGATGATGAGTTACGCCATCAAGTCTTTAATATATATCAACACACACAAAAAAAAAAAAACTATATATATATATATATATATATATATATATATATATATATATATACAACAGCATATTAATTTCTAAAATAAATATTTAATCTGTAGTGTAATTGTATATTGTTTAAGTGCTGATTGTTTACACAGACATGTCAAGCCATCTTTCTGTTAACTGTAAAATATTTTTCTTTTACATTCCCCCCACAGGCTAATACTTATTAACGCTAACGACTATTACTTATCATTACTGTTACCGTCACTGTTACAGCCTATTAAAAGTTCACTGCTGAACATAGGCTCCCCTTATAGATTGCCTCATAGGTATGGGTCGCCATAGTTGCCACGTTTGGCAAAGGAAGTTCTTAAAGTTATATCTGTTATTAGGACGACACTGCTGCCCATCTCCTTGGTTGTTACCCTCTGTCCCCTCTCATGAAACCCACAGGGCGATATGAGATAGTCTATATTCTTACTAATGGCCGAGTAAGAATATTACACAGTACTATTTATTTTTTAACAATATGTCACTTTGCCGTACTAGAAACAATATATCGCTATCATTTTGTACGTGTAACGTAATTAGATATTTAAACATCCCTGATCGGTAGTTCATAAATTTGTATTCCGAAATATAGAAACTTACGCGTTGCATTCTCTCAGTATCCTCGCACTGAGCACAGCGAGTTCTTTCCTTATCTTGACGTGTTCATGTGTACTCAGCAGCACGAGACTTTTAATTACCAGTGTTAGCTTTTCACCAGCCATAGCGTACCACTCTGGCGACATTCTCGTAACATCCTTAACACCTTTAAACATAATAGAATGGAATGTTTTATTTACAATAGAATATTTTTCTTTACTGGATAATAACCTTTTTTTCGAAAAAAAAATAGGATGTAACATGTGAACGGAGTAAAAGCCTATGACACTGATATTTTACAAAAAAATAAGAACAAAAATTTTAATTAAATAAATGAATAGATTTAAATCTATCGAAATTTAAATCATATCTTTGCCTGTGATCCTGCGAAGTGACATGGTCAAAGATGCTTACTAAATTTATTGTTATATTGCCGTTCGTAAAATAGGGTGAATATGATTTGAATTTCGATAGACCTGAATTAATTTATTTATTTAATTTAACATTTCCAAATAAAACGGTTATAATAATGTTCACACAAAAACGAATGCTGAATAACTATCATCTTCCAAGTCTTTTCAGCACAAAACTCAAACTTTCTTCCGAGGTAAAAATACCTAGGTCTTACCTTGGACAGTAAACTTAACTGGAACAAACACATACAAAACAAAATAAGCAAAGCTAGTTTAATTTTCTGGCAATGCAGAAACATGACTGGCAAACGATGGGGTTTAAAGCCAAAAATTATACTGTGGCTGTACAAAACTGTAATTCGGCCCATGATCACATACGGCTCTCTGGTATGGTGGACCAAAACCAATGAAGCCACCACTATACAAAAGCTTCAGCGTTACCAGAGATTAGCTTGTATGGCTGCCACGGGCTGCATAAGGACTATACCAACAGCAGCTTTGGAGGCTATGCTGGAAGCTAACACCGCTTCATCTACATATACAACAAGAAGCAACTTTAGCTGCCATTAGACTCAAGACCCTAAATCTTTTAAGTAAGAGTAGAGTCCCCCACTCGACGACCAACAGTCAAACTGTGAACATTACGTAGTGATCGTCTCCGCATTTTTAATTAGTAGCAATAGTAGAAAAGTGACCGATCGGAAAAAAGTGCACTAAAAATAGCAAACAAACAGTGTTGATAAATTTAAACTAATAATCCTTTCGTGGGAAGTGATAAGTACAGTGAAATAACCATCGAAAATTTGCAAAATTATTTTGAAGTTATTAAATACCATAGACAAAAATTGGAAGTCCAACTACTGTCAAAACCCACAAAAGTTGCCAGGGCAAGCCAAAATCTACCAATTTGGTAGAAAATCGGTACCAAGTATGGACAAACAAACAAAAATGCTGTTAGCCACTATAAAGGAAGAGATTGAAAAACAAAATGATAAACAAACCCAAACCATAACCGAGACTATCAGCAAAACTATTGAAGAGCAACTGTTAGCAATAAAAAAGGAAAACGAAGCTATGAAGTCTGAGATTTTGCTACTAAGATCGAAAGTAAAATATCTGGAACTTGAAACGAGGAAAAATAATGTCTTACTGCATGGGGTTGAAGAAACCGAAAATAACAATCTAGAATTAATGAATACTGTAATAGAACTATTCAACGTTCCTTGCACAACAGAACAAGCGGAGGAAGAGAAACACGACTGGGATAAATGGGAACTTAGCAGCATATACAGAGTTGGGAAAAAGACAGAAGGCAAGATAAGACCTATAAAAATTTCATGTACCCTAACATGGAGAAGAAACGAAATCTTGAAAAAGAAGAAAAAATTCCTAGAAGGAGTCCACGTAACAGAAGATCTGTCTAAAGAGGAACTGGAAGAAAGAAAGACTCTTATCCCAAAAATGAAGGAAGCCAGAGCATCTGGAAAGTATGCAACAATAAGGAATGGCAAACTAATTATACGAGACAAAATGGAACCTGAAAAGAGGAAGAGAGCCCAATCCACCCCACCTTCTACTCCCCCAGACAACTTCAGCAAAGCCCGTGGAGAACCCAAGTTATACCAACCTGCTAAAATGTCGAGAATCAACCCAGCAGAAAGAATGAGAAGCCAATCAAATTCGAATACAGAGGAGACATCAAAAAACTAGAAATAGGCGGTAGTCGAAATAAAAACAGTAAAACAACGAATACCACCAAAACCAAATTAACATTCCCCAACCCGGCTGGTCCCCGTGGGGAATTAGACCACCACCCACCAACCTACAAAAAACCAAAAAAACCAAACAAACACACACTACTAAACAAATATACACTAGAAAACAACAAGAAAAACAACAACATTAACAACAAAGAAAAATGTAATGCCCCCTTTAAAGAAAGTATACAAATTGCAGCACTTCATGTTCTAAACCTAAAGTCGGATGAGAGTCTAACAGAACTAACTAAAGCATTAAATGATATCAAATGGGACATTCTGGGTCTCAGTGAGGTAAGACGAGCTGGAGAAAACATACAAGAATAAGAGGACTTCCTTCTATATCACATAGGCGAAAAAGAAGGCCAAAATGGGGTAGGATTTATTCTCAAAAAGCACATGGAACAATATGCTGATGAATTCATAGGAATTTCGGACCGTTTAGCAGTGCTAAATATAAAGTTACCCAATTACGAAGATATGTGGTCTGTTGTGCAAGTTTACTCTCCAACTGAACAAGCAGACAAAAAGACAATTGAAGAATTCTATGAGAATCTAAACAGTACTATAGAGAGACATACGCATAAAAACTTAATAGTGATGGGAGACTTCAACGGCCAGACAGGTGAAAGCTTGCCAGAAGAAAAACGTGTTCTCGGATTACATATGAAACACGACGAAGCAAAAATGGAACAAGACTCATTAATATGTCTTTCGAAAACAACCTCTATATTCTAAACAGCAAATTTAAAAAAGAAAAGTTCAAGGAAATGGACATGGGTATCACCAGGAAGCAAATACAAAAATGAAATTGACTTTGTTCTCACCAACAAACCAATGTGTTTCACCGATTTAAATGTTGTGAACAAATTTAATTTCAACACGAATCATAGAATGGTCAGGGCAGATCTCACACTACAACATATAAAGACACAAAGACCCAGGAGGAACTTTGTTGGTAAGTTGAGTATTCAAAACCTAAAAGAAGCTGCAAATAAACTAACCGAAAGATGTGCAGACTTTGAGAAAGAAACCAAGAACCTAGATATTCAACAGAAATACGACTGGTTTGAGACTTCAATCAAACTAGCAAAAAGTACCTGCACTAATAAAGAAAAGAAGAAAAGCTATTTATCAATAAAAACAAAAAATCTACTCGAAGCAAGGAAACAAGTAATCAGTTCCAGAGACACAGAGAATCGTAGAAAACGCATATCAGAGCTGAGTAAAGATATAAAACAGAGTATGAGAAGGGATAGAAAACAAAACAGAAGAAAAAAAATAGAAGAGCAAATCATTAGAAATGGAGGAACAAAAAAAGCATATAAAGAACTGTCAGAATCAAAAGATTGGGTTACAAAAGTTAGAAATGAGAAAGGAATAGAACAAAATAGAAGATCAGACATAAAAGATATTGCTACATCATACTATAAACAATTATATGAGAACACACAAGAAGAACCTGGCGAATTAATAGTACTAAACGATGATGAGGATGAGAGCATACCCTATATACTGCAACGAGAGGTAGAAGTAGCATTACAGTCCCAAAGTAAAGACAAAGCCCCAGGGCCAGATGGCATTGAAAATGAAATCCTATTAATGGCAAAAAATGTCCTGTTACCAATTATCACGAAACTATTTAATGAAATTTTCGCAAACGAAATTATCCCGATACAATGGACGCAATCTAATATAGTATTGTTATATAAAAAGGGTGATAAACTTAATATAGGTAATTATCGCCCGATCAGCCTTATGTCCAACTTATACAAAATATTTGCGAAAATACTGCTAAGAAGACTAGAAAGAAAATTAGACGACAACCAACCAGACGAGCAAGCAAGTTTTCGTAGAGGCTACTCAGTATTGGACCATATACATGTTATGAGGCAGATTATAGAAAAATCCCATGAATACAACCAATTATATTACATGGCATATATAGACTACAGCAAGGCTTTCGACTCTTTATTTCACAATAAGATATGGCAGGCCCTAAAAGAACAAGGTATCGAAAGCAAGTACATAAGGACACTGAGAGAGATATACAAGAAAAGTACAGCATGCATACAGTTAGAAAAGAAAGGAGAACCATTTAGCATACAAAAAGGTGTGCGACAGGGCGACCCGCTATCCCCAAAACTTTTTTTTGCGGCCCTTGAGATAATATTTAGAAGACTAAATTGGGACGGATATGGAATAAGTATTGATGGAACTTGGTTAACACATTTAAGATTTGCAGACGACATCGTTCTCTTTGCAAAAACCCCACATGAACTGAATGTCATGGCAAATGACCTGGCATTAGAAAGTCACACGGTGGGATTGAAAATGAACATGGAGAAAACGAAAATAATGACCAACGGACCTAAGAATGAAAACATCAGGGTTGGCCAAAGTGAGATAGAATACGTTGATGAATACATCTATCTGGGCCAAATGATCTCACCCACAGACAACATGGAAAAAGAAATCAACAGGAGAGTAGCAAATCGATGTTGGAGCATGAAGGAAATAATGAAAGATAAAGAACTGCACATATCCATTAAATCTAAAGTGTTCAACACATGCATTCTTCCTGTATTGATATATGGATGTCAAACATGGGCTCCTACTAAGTTAAACAGTAAGAAATTAAACATATGCCAGCATTCGATGGAGCGAAGCATGATGGGAATCAGGAAAAAGGATCGAGTCAGGTTAGAAGACATTAGGAAAAACACAAAGGTTCGGGACATAGCAACAAAATTCAGGAAATTAAAGTGGAAATGGGCTGGGGATATGAGTAGAGGGAAGGAAAAGTGGAGCAGGAAGGTCACAGAATGGTACCCCAGGAATGGCATAAGAAACAGGGGGAGACCCCGCCAAAGATGGGAGGACGACCTGGTCAATTTCGCGGGTGTGACTTGGAGCCGGGTTGCCAAGGATAGAAACGAGTGGAAAAGGTTGGAGGAGGCCTTTGCCGATTGGCAATCAGCAGAAGACAATCTAGATTTTATATGACTTAGATATTAAGAAATTGTATTACGTACTGTTGAATAAATGGCTTTATTATTATTATTATTATTATAGAGTCCCCCATACAGATATAATCGATAGAATTTACTCAAAAATTCCTATCTTACAAGCCAAGTATGATAGGATCCCAAATCAATTTGTATTCGATAAGAAGTACAGGATACAATTGAAGGAAACTGACCATCTGGAAGGATTGGGTCCAAGAGAGCCCAAAGTTTTCACGGATGGCTCTAAGACAAATGAAGGTGTGGGGTCTGGGGCTTTCTGTGAAGACCTTAATATCCACATATGCACACCGCTGGGTACCCACAACACAGTCTTCCAGGCTGAATGCATGGGTATCATCCAAGCGGCAATGCAAACATGCAATGTGACGAACTCGGGACTGATATACGAGTGCCATCAACGAGTGAATGAGGTTTGTAAGCACAACAATGTGACTCAAGGGACACAGTGGATCTAGAGGCAAGGATGCAGCAGATGAACTGGCCAGAAGGGGATCGGCCCTAGCAACTATAGGGCCGGAACCAATAATACCAATCCCCTTTGGCTACATTCGTTCACTGGTATGTAGATACTTCAACAATTTACACGCTCAGCTTTGAAAAAAATTAGTAGACTGTAGACAAGCTAAGAAGGCCCTACCTGAAATAAACAGTCATCTAACCAAGGTTCTAATGAGACTGAACAAGCCACAGATCAGGATAGTAACAAGTGCTATCACAGGACATGGCTCTTTTAACAAACATTTGTTCACCATAGGTGTTACTGACAGCCCCCTGTGCAGGGCATGCATGGGAGAGGAAGAAACGGCGGCTCACGTATTGCTGCCATGTCCAGAAGTCGCTTCATACAGGGCTAAACATCTCGGCACGCCGGGATCGCTCCCCCGAAGTTGCTTGCAACATCATGGGACTGCTGAGCTTCTTCGGGGGGATATCATGGCTCGAATAAGCATATTATTTCTGCCCACACGCAAAATACGCGCTTAGACGTAGAGTTGCGGAAAACAGCCCGTTGTAAACTAAACTAAACTAATTCAACATTTTGTTTTTATTTTTTGTAAAACATCAGTGCCATAGGCTTCTACTCCGTTCATATGTTACACCTTTTTTTTTCAGACGGTAAAAAGGTCATACAGTATTTAGCAAATATAGGTGATACAAATCGTGATGATATATATGAAAGTCCTCGCACAGATAATTTTGTGACAATTTTTAGCTGCAGTCGTGTACACGTAAAGTTGACGTCTGTATCGCACAACGCAGTGCAATGTTGCTTGGCCTATAGTCTCAACTTTCCTTTATGTTTATGATCTCAATTGTTCGGAAATACAGTTTATGTAACTGTGTAGCGGCGGTGTGAGAATATCCACTACCTCATATCGTCCCATGCGTGTGGTAAGAGGCAACAAAGGTAAACCGACACTGGAGATGTGCAGCAGCATCTTTCTCATAACATCCCAAAATAATAAAAAAACTACAGTAGCCTACCCACCAGCCATGCGTGGCAACTATAGCAAAATTATATAGAAGAGTAGGCATATATTCAGCAGTGGACTTTTATAGGCTGCAAAGGATCACATAAACCATAAAGTTTATGTTTAACATTGTCAGAATATACTCTGTAAGGTATCGCATAAATTTATGCAGCCACAGTATTCCTGGCAATAGAACTGAGCCAGTTTTCAGCAAGATTTCCAGTAAGGTGCAATTTTTATATCACGTTTTCGAGATACATATTTCGCAATATTTACCAGAGGGCAAGTAAATAGTTGTACAGTAAATGTAAAGTTACAGCCTATATATGTCTCACTGCTGGACACAGGCCACATCTCATTTCTGAGAGGGCCGTTTCTCATTTCCCAATGCGTGTTGGTGAACTTCGTAGTTCTTCGAAATATTTTTTTTCTTATTTCTCAAACATTTTTTATAGAATAAGGGTGAAAATGAGCACACAGTCCAACTAACCTAAATCAACAAGTAAGTGGTTGCTGTGTCCCGTAGACATGTACATCTATCCTCGATTACGAAACAGGAATACAGGATGCGTTGTTACCAGTGAGAACTAAGATAGAATACCTCCTATCTAAAATGGTTCTCCATTTCTCTACACTCACCATACGAAACACAGCAGCATTGAGCTGCTATTTCACGCTCGTTTTCTGTGAGAGCGTCGTCCTTCCCCGGTCGAGCCGACCCATTCGTTCTATCAACTATACTACTAATAATGATGCAGCATGGCTCTACCACGTAAAAACATACAGGTTTACTTACGATGTTTTCCTTCACCACCGAGCTCTTGGTAAATCAGTAACAAAATTTGCAATTAACAATTTAATTGGTGCCGGCGGGGATCGAACCCGAGTTGATCAGTTGAACAGTCATCATCATCATCATCATTACAGCCCTTCACAAGTCCACTGCTGAACATAGGCCTCCCCCAAGGTATGCCACAAAGCACGGTCCTGAGCCACCTGTATCCATCGACTTCCTGCATGTCTTACCAGGTCGTCACTCCATCTAGTGGGGGGTCGCCCTACACTTCACCTACCGGTACGAGGCTGCCACTCGAGAATCTTTTATCCCCAACAGTTGTCAGTTCTTCGAGCTATATGGCCGGCCCATTGCCACTTCAGCTTACTAAGCCGTTGGGCTATGTCGGTCACTCTGGTTCTACTACGGATAGCCTCATTTCTAAGTTTGTCACGCAGAGAAACTCCAAGCATAGCCCTCTCCATAGCTTGCTGAGCAACTTTGAGCGTTCTCATACGGCCCCAGCAGTGAAGGACCACCTCTCGGTTCCGTAGGTCATCACTGCCAGTGGTTGTACAACTTAGTTTTCAGGTTTTGAGGTATACCTGACAAGAAGATGTGTCTTAATTTCCCGAACGCTGCCCAGCCGGGTTGAATCCGTCGATTGACCTCTCGGTCGAAGTTGGACTTACCTAGTCGGACTATTCGTCCCAGGTAAACATACTCGTCAACAACTTCGAGCTTAGTGCTCCCAACAACGACCGGCATAGGTGTGACATGGACATTAAACATGATCTTTGTTTTGTCCATGTTCATGTTAAGACCTATCCGTTGGGAGGTACTTTTGAGGTCATTGAGCATAGTGCTTAAGTCCTCCAGCGATTCTGCCATAAGGACTATATCGTCGGCAAATCGAAGGTGAGTGATGTACTCGCCATTGATGTTAATACCGTATCCTTTCCGGTCCAGTAGCTTGAAAACGTCTTCCAATGCAGCGGGGAAATAACGTCACCCTGTCTTACACCTTTCTGCAGTTGGATAGGTTTCATACTAGTTGAACAGTAGTTACATATTATTCGAAATTATCAAGAAAAAGATGGGTTTCAATATCCAACTAAAGATATAGATGGTTTGAGATTTATACGTTATGCTATTGAATTTAACTAGGTATTATGATTCCTTTTCTCGCTAGGAGTCCTTCTGAATAGGTGCACTCTTGTGTTTCGGTCAGAAGTGTATAGAGAGCCAGTATAATTACAGAATGTGAGGCATTCCAATTTAGTCCTCAGAAGTTTTTGTTTGAAGTTGGCTGCAGGTGTCCTTGTACTACAATAACCACTTACAATCAGGTGGATTATTAGTTAATTCCTCATAATATAAATTTTATGTAAAAAAGAAATTAATTACCCTTACTGCTTACATCTTTGTCTATGGGTTTGGTTTTTAACGCAATCATGTTGGCAAAGTCCTCAGCCGTCACATCGCTCTTCTTTTTCAAATGTTTGTCATGCATTGTCAGGCAAAGTATGCGGTGTGTTGCGTTCAGTGCTGCCTGTAATAGATTTAACTATTTATTCTCCGTATTCATCATCGTCATTAGCGTATCATTCTTCATCTAAATTTGCGTATTCCCGTTGACAATTGCCACATTTTACTGGCGAGCCATGAATATATTTATACGTGGTAGAACCATGCTGCAGTTATATCGTCGCTTTGGTAGTGAAGAGAGTCAACCCACACATATCAAGTTCCGAAATAATGAGCAATTAAGTGGCGAGGTTAAACAAAAAATATTTATTAGTCTATACCTTCTAAACCGTAAGTTAGATTTTAATAAAAATGGCATTGGTTTAGCTAAACATGCTTCTTGTGTTTTTGGTATATTTATAGTTTTTTTGTAATTTAACTAGTTTTTTTGTTAATCGCTATTTTGTACTTGGCTCTTTTCACCATTTAGATATTTTGAAAATGATCTACTAATAAATAGGGAGGTGAAAAGATGTAAGTGCTATAGATCTACTAATTTATTCAAATAATTGTTAGCAGCAGGGTTGGTTGGTAGTTGGTAGACAAAAAAAAGAATAATAGGGTTATTTTAAATATTGTTATAGTAGAAATAATAAAATTAGTAATTATTTGTTAAAAATCTTCATTAAAAAAACCAATAATCTTCTATAATATCAACATCATGACTTGAAGCAATAAGATTCATGTAAAATTCATGATAAGAGGTAGGAATTGTACCTTTTTTACAAAGATCTTGTAAGTCTTTAAGTTTTTTTGTATCTATTTTTAAGCTACACTTATAAAGATTAGCTACTTCAGTGGCAAGTATTTCTTCATCATTTCGAGTTGATCTGAGGCGAATACATAGTCGTTCAAATTCAATTTGGCTTAACTTCACGTCTATATTGCAGCCATTTAACAAGAAGCCATTTCATGATGCCACTCTCTCCTTTATTTTTATTTGTAATTTTTTTTTAAAGAATATTAACAATGCATTTAATACATTACTAATATTCTTAACTACACTACTAATATTATTAGTAGTGTAGTTGTAGCACGATAGGTCAGCTCGACCGGGGAAGGACCACGCTGTCACAAAATACCAGTGTAAAATAATAGCTTAATGCTGCTGACCGGAGACCTCTTTTATTGAAAACGAGGCATTCCATCTTAGTTCTCAAGGGTGACAACGCATCTGCATTTTGATTTATAGTCGAGGATAGATGTAAATGTCTATGGGCCATAACAACCACTTACCATCAGGTGGACTGTGTGCTCTTCTGTCATCCTATCCTATAAAATCAAAAATATTGATGTCCATAATCCGCCGATATCTGATAGGATATATCGTGTAAGATGTCTTGCACCACTGATTCCTTTTCCTGTCGCAGGTCGGAGAATTTTACATCTAAAATATAATACGACATGGTTCCACCGTCGCCTATCGGTAAATATGAGATCTACCTGAAAAGTCTTATAGTTAGGCCGATAAGACTTCTCTTGAAGAGGCTGGCAACTCACCTGCGAATCTCCTGGTGTTATAATTGTTCATGGGTGGCGTTCGACACTTACCATCAGGTGCGTCGCATGCTCGCTTTCTTCACGTTTCAAATAAATAAAGTCGATCTTTTCAAAACTTTTACTACCCATGTGAATTGGGTGGTAGATCAATTGCTTTAATATTGAAAGTTAAAACATTTATTTTAATTTTAATCAAGGATACTAAGGGCTTGCGAATTGGTAATTGAAGAAGAAATTAAAAAGGGGAGGAAAGGTTCTCGAGGGGCAGGCTTCTACTGACAACCGTTAGACAACCCCACTAGATGAAGTGAGAACCTGATGCAATAGGCAGTTAATTAATGGGTGCGTGGCTCGGGACCGTGCAATCAATACAGTCTATGAATTTTTTCAATTCATAAGTTTAAATGGAATCTACTACTGGTGTACTCTACAGTTAATAGACTAGGCATACTATCTTATTTAAAAGATTACCAATACTGTTACCGTAACAGTCTAACAAAAGTCCACTGAACAAAACATAGGGGGGATTTTTATCATAGTTGCCATGCTTGGCAACGCATTTTTTAATTTTTAGGTTTATTAGGAAAATGCGACAGAGAAAAACAAACAATACTGCCCATAGTTTGTTTTTCTCTGTCGCCTATTACGATAGGGACATGATTGTTAAAAGATTAATGTAGCAGCAATTACAGTTTAAAGTAACTTAATAGTGAAAAAAAGTTTAGTACAGCCAAATTACCACAACAACAGCATGTCCTGGATTTTCTTTACACATGGCAACATCTTGTAATGCTGCCAGTACACCGGGCAGTATACTTGAAAGCATATCAACTACTAAAACTTCAATATTACCATCTCTTACATGGCACATATCATCTGTAAGTTGTTCATGTGTAGCAGTGTGAGCAGTAACATTACTAATGGCAGCTAATCTGTAACAAGATATGTATATAAAATTTAACTGTGTGTAATACTGACATAACTGGCTTCTGTTAAGCTCAGTGGATTATTTGCTATAAAGACATAAAATACCGTTTTCTAAAATTTTGTCGGTCCACCTGACTCTCCAGTCTAATCTTTAAAATGGCTGAACCAATTGTAATTAAGATATTAATAGTTATTTTGCAACCATCCTCTAAATTAAATAAAATGATGTGTCTTACCTAGTTTGAAGAGCACCTCCCGCCCTCCCTCAATTGCGTGCACTAACCCCGTCACCACCAATCCCAGCAACACTACTCCCAGTACCACTATTCTAAGAAAGACACACCATCGACGGTAATACGACACGTGTTTCGCCTCTACACGAGGCATCTTCACGCAATTGAGGGAGGGGGGGGAGGTAAAAATAGGCTTGCTAAATAATGATGATAGTTGCTTGCACCTGTGCTTTAAACTTTTTTTATAGAATAAGCATGACAAACGAGCACAAGGTCCACCTGATGGTAAGTGCATGCTGTGGCCCATAGAAAAATATTACACTAATTTAAATATTATTGCCAAGATCAGACCAACAAAAAAGATAGACAGAACTGTATGTTCATTTCAGTGTCCCGAAACCATGATCAGCTTATTGTCAGAACACGCTCTCCCACACACATATATGACTGAAACTACTGAATTTTTCTATACAGGGTTATTTTAGTATAACTGGCCATATATTTGCAGAGAAGGTTCAGAATGAGTAGGCAAATGTTGAAGAAAAATTTATTAAAAAAATATCAAACATTAAATTTCAAAATGCATGGCAATGCATTATTTCGGGTATTATAGGGTATATTAGGGTCGATCGGTAGGCAAAAACGTTGTTGCCCATAAATAACATTCAATTTGGGATAATTTAAAATAAAAGTAGAAGCCTTATTTACTCGTATTATTTATATATTTGAACTTAAGTTTAAAATTAGACTACTGTTTGAATAAACACTAACTTTGTATATGTCTATGTTTGGATGCAAATTATGTTCTTTATTAATTTTTTTTTGCAAATTGTATGTGTGCGTGTAGTAGCGGTCGCTGCGTAGTGGTGGCGTAATAGCATCTACTACCGCATATCGTACCGTGGGAGTCGTAAGAGGCGGCAAAGAAACTGAAACAGAAATAAAAAAACTGTGATTGCCACCTGCCAAGCATGGCGACTCTGGCAAAACTATTTTTGTTGAAAGAAAAATATCTTTGTTGACAGTTTCTTGTCTGTCTCTGTCTATTATTCCAGATGGAATCTTGCAACTCAAATTACAGCACTTCCCGATGAGTTAGACAGAGGGAGAGACTTGAAATTGGAACATAGCTCCAAATCGGATGAGAATGTAGGAAAAAGAAAGTAGTACATTAAATCTTTTGAGTACAAATTTTTAAAAAAACTACCTTTTTTCTATTTCAACCTTAGTAGTAAAGTTTTTTTTATTGAACCTTACCTTAGTGACCTTAATTTTTCAAGTTTAGCTATATGTACAGATACGAATATGGTCTGTGCCAGTAAAGGAACTTGGGTTTTCAAGAGTTTCTGCCTAACAGCAGAGTCTATATTTAACATTAGGACAGTAAGACACCTCATTATACTCAGTTTTAACTCCTCAGGAACAGCAGCAACTAGAAGAAATTTGTAAATGCATTAGAATATGCAAATCCTAGTCTGAAATTTTTAACACAGCCAAAACTGTTTGACAAAAATTTTTCGTAAATAAATATGATAACAATCCATTGTGTTTATATATTACATAATATATAATAAACTTATTTTTATTTTTGGTTTCCGCTTTTTGTGAGTGCTTTGCAGCACCCATAGTCATAAGGACTGTAGTGTTTGACATCCCAATGTTAATCCACAATTCCATTCAGCTTTCAATCATCAACTTTGGTTTGATGTTCACTGAATGAGCTTATTGTATCTTGAACATTGGAGTACTTGTATCTGGAAAGCCAACAAAAAACACCAATGGGAAGTCTGCTGTGATCATATTTTTTTTTATATAGAAGAGGGGGCAAACAAGCATATGGTTCACCTGATGTTAACTGACTACTGCCGCCCATGAACATCTGCAACACCAGAGGAATTGCAGGTGTGTTGCCGGCTCTTTAGAAAGGAGTAAGCTCTTTTCTTGAAGGTCCCCAGGTCGTATCATAGAAAGCCATTAAATCAGATTTGATAAACCACAAATCCTCACAAAAGTATATAAATTCCCACTAAGTGTTTGTGAAGCCATTGAATTTAAAAAACATCCTAATTTCAAGAGATTATAGCTGTGTTTACCACCTACCACCTGTTTAGGATTCTGTCATTAAAAAAATAAATCCAAAACCAAGACCCCCACTGCAAGAATTCAAGGTACAGTAAGCTCATTATTCTGGGTAGATTTGACTTAAAATAATAAATAAAAGCTCAAGGTAACTATAACATAGGGAAGTCAAATTCCTCAGAACCCTCATCACCCTGGGTATTGCAAAGTATTTGAAACATCAACAATTAATTTTGGTTGATTTGATGGTGATTTTTTTTTTGATTTTAGTGGTACATAGTGTAATAATAATATTATAACGCCTATGTCTTCATATATTTTATTTGTATTATGAATAAAATATATGAAGACATAGATGTTATTTCATTCAAGAATAAAGAAATTGCATGTTTTTTCATCTTCTATGGTTTTAGAGTTTACTAAAAATTATTCTTCAAAAAATTAAAAACGAAATTTATCAATTGATTTTTCATGTAATTTTATAAGTATAAATGGTTTTCCTAAAATGTAAATTCAAACACCAGTGACGTCATTATATTGCTTTAGTAATGCCACTGCATGGTGAAACAATACACTCATGTTTACATTATCAATATTAAAAAAATGTCATTGCATAATACAGGTTATATACGTTTTGTTATGACACATATTGTGGTGATCCTAATACAGAAAATACAAAAGTATAGCATGATTGCAATTGGCTCAAAGCCTTAAGGGATATAATGACATTGCAACCAAACACAAGTAGTTTTTTTTTCATTCAAAAATTTTACTATTTTTTCGTAGAATCGTTAATAAAAATAAAATATAATAATAATTTGTGGCAAAAAAATCAATGCAACTTCTCTATTTAAAAAGTTTGCAAATCTAGATAAGAGATGGTGGTCCTAAGGCATATACAGTATAATCTCACTAATCCGGCACTTCGATAGATCGGCACGTCCAATAATCCGGTACCCTCCGCCCACGCCTCCCTCGCCCCTCTATACCTGTGCGCTTCGGTCGCTGCGTCATCGACGAGCAGTCTAACCTCAAAACTTATCACGTGCACGTGCTTACGTATTTGTTTTTTTTTTTCCAAGTGAGAATAGTTTATAGTTAAAAATGTCAAATAAACGCAAACACAAGACACTAGATTTGAATAATAAAATGGAGATTTTAAAGAAGTTAGATAGTGGAGAAAACATGTGCAAATTGGCAAAAGAATATGGTGTTGGGCGTGCTACTATACACGATCTTAAGAAAAAAAGGCAAAAGATAGTAGACCACGTCAAGACAATGGAATCGGGGCCAGGAAAGCGTAAAACACTAAAAGTTGGCGATTGTCCAAAGATGGAAAACGCTCTTTACATGTGGTTCTTGCAACGGCGTTCTAAACACACTCCTATATCTGGAGAAATTCTGAAAACCAAAGCAATCGAATTTTATAAAAAAATTACCCACAAAGATGATTTTCGTGCCAGCGATGGATGGCTGGATAAATTTAAAAAGCGATTTGGTATCCGTCTCTTAACAGTATCGGGTGAGAAATTATCAAGCGACGAATCTGCAGTACAGCCATTTATCCAGCATTTCAAAAACAAAGTAGAAGAACTGGGTCTTCTTCCTGATCAAATCTATAACGCAGATGAGTGGTCTGTTCTGGAGACTGTTGCCCAATAAAACATTCGTGTCTTCTACAGAAGCAAGTGCACCAGGTCGTAAAGTGAGTAAAGACAGAATCACATTCATGCCGTGTTCAAATGCTACTGGAACGCACAAATTGGATTTATTAGTGATTGGCAAAGCAAAAAATCCCAGAGCTTTCAAGAACATTTGTCTGCCAGTCTGTTACAAGAACCAAAGTAGAAGTTGGGTCACGAGAGAGGTATTTAGCGAATGGTTTCATAAAGACTTTGTCCCAGAAGTAAGAAAATTTATGAAAAGATCTAACTTGCCCATAAAAGCTTTACTCGTACTTGACAATGCTCCAGGCCACCCAAACGAACAAGAACTTAAATCAAGTGATGGGAATATCCAAACCATCTTCTTACCACCAAACTGCACACCTTTACTGCAGCCGATGGATCAAAACGTTATCCAAAAAATAAAGTCTTTGTATAAAAATAAATTGCTGATCCATATTATATCTCAGGATGGTGATATAACGCAGAGCCTTAAAGGAATGAATTTGAAGGATGTTGTATTCTCTCTCGCTCATGCTTAGAAGTCTGTTTCATCTAACTTAATCCAATCTTCATGGAAAAAGTTATGGCCCACAATGAATGATGTATCAGAAACAGAAGAAACAGATGAATGGGATCCTGAAGATAATATGCCTATTGTCGATTGGTTAAAAAATCTATCAGAAAAAGGATTGGAGACAAGTGAGGAAAATTTAAATTCTTGGTTTGAAGGAATCGAAGAAACAGAGCAAATTATGACAGATGAAGAAATAATATCTGAAGCAGTACAAGAAGAAAGCTTTGTAGAAATATTAGAGCCACCAACTACTACAACTGCTATAAGAGTTAAACCAGATAATGCATTGATGTGTTTCAATACGTGCATAACATGGGCAGAAGAAAACGGCATGTCTGCCAAAGATATTATAATTCTTCGCAACATGCGAGAAAAGGTTTTTAAGCAAGGACTACAAGTTGCACAAAAGCAGACCTCAATTAAGGATTATTTTAAAACTACATAGTTAATCACATATGTACCTACATGTTAATCGAATACATTACATACATTGACTCCCTCTATGAAATATGTACTTTATTTTATTCTTTACCTATGACTTTTTCACTATAATCCAATAATCCGAACATTCCAATAATCCGGCACCCTCCGGTTTTTAATAGTGCCGGATTAGTGAGATTATACTGTACTTAGATAAGTTATCTGCATGAATTTTATCATGATCAAAATCATTATAATTATTAAAGTATTTAAATATAATTTTTGTTTATAATTTTTATTTTAAAAATATTTCACACATACAGTAGAGCCACAATAATTCAAACCCCCGATAGTTCGAACTCCTCTATAATCTGAAAGACCCTATAGTACATATTGAATTTCAAAAACAAAATGTTATATCACAAATTGAAAGCATTGTCAATAAACACAACTCGTCAATGTACTATACTAGATTTTTTTTAAATTAATACAACATATTGATTAGTAAGCTGAAGTGGCAATGGGCCCCCAACCCCGAGGGGAAGAAAGGTCTCGCCCCGGCTGCGACCCCCACTAATGGAGTGACGACCTGGTAAGACATGCAGGAAGTCGATGGATATAGGTGGCTCAGGACTGTGCTTTGTAACATTACTTGGGGGAGGCCTATGTTCAGCAGTGGACTTGTGAAGGGCTGTAATGATGATGATGATGATTGATTAAAATTTGTATTAACTTTCAATTATAAAATCTGTTTAATTTCAAAAAACACCTAAGATAATAATACTAATAAAGATTATTAGTATTATTATCTTAGGTGTTATTGATAAACATACTACATTATTAGTATTACATGCACAAAAATTACTAAGATATTATACCCATATTTCAGGGGTTAGTTTATAAAAATATCTACATACTATAATACAAACGCTTCAATTATTCAAACAGGATGTAAATATTATTTGGAGGTCTTACTGCAGTTGTAAAAAGGTTGATCTTAGGCTGTAAAAGTAAAGTAAAACCTATATATGTCCCACTGCTGGGCACTCCTCTCATTTCTAAGAGGGTTTTGGGGCAAGAATCGTCTATGGTGCTGCAATGTCAACAAACTTCACATCTTCTAAATATTTTTTTTCTTATTTCACAGACATGTCTCACAATATTTTCCTTCAGCTGCTATTAACAACTACATTGGTGCAGACAGGGATCAAACCTGGGTTATTTTTGATACAATAAGGGTGACAAACAAGTACACAGTAAACCTGATGATCAGTGGTTGCTGCGTCCCATAGACATTTACATCTATCCTCGATTACATATCGCAGATATGTTGGCACCTGTGAGGACTAAGATGGAATGCCTCTTTTCCAGTAAAAAGTGTCTCCGGTTCTCTATACTCACCACATGAAACTGCTATTTTACGCTGGTATTCTGTGATAGTGTGGTCCTTCCCCGGTTGAGGCAACCCATTCATGCTAAACTATAATACTAATATAGCTGCAGCATGGCTTTACCAAGTAAAAAGGGTTGTTTGCATACTGTGAAATTTAGGGCGAGTGTTTAGCACCTAAATTACCATGGCTCTGAAAGCTGTAAGTTTTATAAAAATTTACAACAACCTACTCATTCCTGGTTTATTTTTATCAAAGGTTAAGCTAAGCAGACCAGTTTCGATTTTCATACACATTTCAAAGCTGTTTACAGTGACTCTTTCCAATACAACTTTCATTGCATCAATAACTATTCTTTGTTGCTCATGTCTGTTTCTGAAACCAATACAAATGACAATTAGGTAATGAATATTGAATCACTATTTAGTACGAAGAAAACTATAGTGTGGCATACTTAATCTCTGTAGATCTTATGTGTGTGACCAAAGGAAACAGCAGGTACTGTTGCAACTCTTGAACATCTTCCTTCCTTAATTCTGACACAATACCTATAAAACTGTTTACGTTTTCTGCAGACGGACATACCATAACTATATCACATATTGGCTTCATACGGAAGAAAGTCTCTTTAATTTTTGAATTCATTATTAAAAATTATTTTTGGTCTAAGAAAAGATTATCGAAATCAACCTATGAGATTCACATTACATGAATTTAATATTTTTATATCAATTGCATTTAGCTTTAATACTATTTAATATTAAGCACAATAATCATAGGCAAAGAGATTCGCTCGTTAATATTTAAATGCATTTGAATTTTTGAATAAACATATGTTTAAGTTTTTTCTAAAATCGAAAATGCAAACCGCAGATCACTTCTGGTTATAAAAAGATACTCTATGATATACTACTAGACTACGAAAATAGTGTTCTGTGCTACGAATGCAAACCCCATAGATAAATAAATATGTAGCAAGCTAATGCAAACTACTAAAAATAGTAGGTATAATCAAAAAGGTACATTTTTATTAACTGGATTTACGGCTCTGGGTTCTAGCTCTTCTGAGCCTTCAAAGAGGTACAACACAAACTAATAAGAGAGGTACAATCATGGAGGTGAGAGAATAGGAAAACGATCGCTGTAGAAAATAGTGTCCCAGAAATATGGACAAAATAAGTGATATGCTGCGATCGCTACGTTGTCTCAATAAAAAGGGGTGTTGTGCGCTAGTTTGAAATGCATAATAATAAATAAACACTCACGCCTGTCACCCAGAGGGGTAGGCAGAGACTACAGACTTCCATTTAGCACGATCCTGACATACCTTTCTCGCCTCTTCCACATACATATACCTACGCATACATGCTCGTCGGTTAAGGGTACTCTTAATTAATCTTAATTTTGACGACTCCGTGGCGCAGTGGCTCAGCAATTAGTGGCTGTGCTGGGGGTCGCGGGTTCGAATCCCGCACGGAACGAGTATTTTTATGGCCTACAAATAGTTGTCCGGGTCTGGATGTTCGTCCTTGTGCAATTTATGTTTGTAAACTGCCCCCACAATACAAGAGAAAATCTTAGTGTAGGGGTAACGTTAAAAAAAAATTTGGCCCATTTTTAGTATATCGCAAATTTGGTCGACAAACTTCCGCCTAGGACGTCCCTTTCCGACTCTTCCATTCACTTCTGCAACATATATTTGCTTTGTCAGTCTTTCCGCATTCTTTCTTTCTACATGACCAAACCACCGAAGCATTCCTTTCTTAATCCTGGTCACCGCATCATCTTGCAAACCACACTCTTCTTTTATCACACAGTTTCTCACCCTGTCACTCAGATTCAGCCCTAACATATTCCTTAGCGACCGCATTTCTACTGTATTTATTATACTCTCGTGCTTCTTCTGCCACACCCAACTTTCACTACCGTACGTTAAAGTAGGGACTAATACAGCACTGTGAATTGCCATACGTGCCTTTTTTGACACATTCTGACTTTTCACAATAGAGTGTAGAGCCCCATTTACTTCATAGTTTGAAATGATTATAATCATTTCAAACTAGCTAAATGAATATTATTATAATGATATTAGTTTGAAATGATTATAATATCATTCATTTAGCTAGTTTGAAATCATTATAATATCAATTATTATTATTATTTATTACTAGTATTTTTTATTAATAAATAAATGATAAATTATGTTTTTTTTATAATTTTAATTAATAAATATTATAAATTATTAATTATTATTAATTTATTGTAATTATTATTTTATTTCTAATATTTTACCATTTTTTAATGTTTCTTTTTGTCAAAAATTACTTCGCACATACTACTAACCGACGGCAGCGCGGCTATAAATTCAACAAATTTTCAGGGAAAGGCGGTGAAAGCGGACCCGGTCTGCAGTGCCTTTCCACCGTGCAGTGTAATAACACTAAGGGAGTTAGGGCACTTATTCGATGCGCAACTAGGGATGCAAACGATACATCAATTCTTTCAAACATCGATATATCGTTCATAAACATTGTTCTTCATGGGCTATGTTTTATGAACGATGTTTTGCCGTCAAAGGTTACTAAAAAACCAACCATTCGAATGTATAAAATTCCGTATGTTAAAAGTTGCGAACGATGATTTTCACGAATTTTATGTTACCAAAATAATAAATATTCGAAACAAAATATGTCAAAGTTAGATAACGTCTCAGTTTTTAAAGTAAGAAGGTTTACGAGTATAAAATAACTCAATCCTGAAAATTTCAACTACGAATCAACAAATAGGCGAACGGTCTTTCAGCCGACGATAAATATACATGAACTTTAGAAGTACAATTGGTAATTCCGTATATAATAATAATTAAAATTGTTGTTATTTTTTTGTGATAATTAATTAAGATAAGTTTACAAATATTGAAATTGGATTGAAATTGTTTTATACATTTTCTTATTGATAATTATATTATTTGAGCTTTATGTTAACGACTAGCTTAAATACAGTATTATTATTTTTTAGTTTGTATTTCAGTGTAGTTTCGTAGATGTACGTATTCAGAAAATGCGATAATACTAAAGGAAACACACGGACAGTGGCGAAGCTTCCATTAAAGCCGAAAAGCCGGGCTTGCCTTATTAAACCTGAATCAATCAATAATATCAACTAATAAAATAACTCGTAAAATGTTTCAAGCTATTTCAAATTTCCCGCGCACTCAACTGTTCGACACATGTCGACCGATGACCTCGTATTGCCTTAGCGATACTGCTGCTGTCATAAAAAATGAGTTTTAATAGAGCTAATAGTTGTCTCCCGCGCTCGCGTGGGCTTTTTACGGAGCTTTCGAGAAGACGATCGCTCTCTTTATAACCTATGGCAAAATATTCTATAATGAAATATAACTACGATTGTATATATAGCAATTAGTATAGAGATTTAAAGCCAGGCTTTTGGGAATAAATTTGTTAAAAGCGGAGGCGCGCGGGCAATACGTTTGCAAGTTCATTTCACGTTTCAATGTTTATTTACTCTGTGTGCTAATCTTAAGTGATTTAATATTAAGAGTTCAAAATTTATGCTTTTTTAAAGATTTTTAATGAAAATGGAGGATAATAGTGTTCCTTGTGATGAATTGAAGTGTGTTAAAGTGATAATCGGAGAGGAAATCTTTAAACTTTGTTGAGATAATACACAAGGTTAAGAGTGTATTTCAGACTTATCAATTATCGCAATTAAAAACAGTTATTGGTACAATTAAAACGTTCACCAACATTTTACGTGGACGTAATTAAATCTTTCCATAAGAAAGCGAGACGATTCCACTTATCTTATCTTATCTCTTATCCATTAGAATCTAAATGATTTTTTTGTTAATTTTGTACATAGTTTGTTTGTACTTTGTTCGTGTTTACTTTTGTTCATGTATTGTATTGGATGTAAATATTTTTTTTCTTTCGCTTAAACAAACCCAAACGGCTTTTTTCAACGCCACCGAAGCTATGCAATTGCTGATATGTAATACAATCTATCTAGCAGTGGTATGCCTTCTGTGTGCTTTGTTAAACAAGTCCTTGACATCACTGAATATGTAACTGAAGCGTGGAGACAGATCAAGATTGGTGTATTTTTATAAAACTGCTAAAAACAACAATCTATATTTTTATCAATTTATATCTTGGACTTGCCCTAGCTTGGAGCTCTAGCTTCGCCACTGCACACGGAACTGCCATAAAAATGAATGCACCATATCATGAGAAATAAAACTAATGCACAAGACGAGTTCATATATTACATGTGGGATACCATGAATGGGTTATTTCCCAGGCTTCATAGCCTCGACAAGATTTATTTACCTATCGTAGTAACTTCGATATCCCGTGAGCGGTTATTTTCAGAGGCTGGATCTACAATCAACCAGGAGAGAAACCACTTTATAGGCACCATGTTGTTAAAATCATTATTTTAAAATTCAATTCGAAAATAATAAACGTCAAAAGTAAGAAAATATTTAGTTAATTCTTGTTTCTTGATAATTATTTGATAAAATTAAATATTTTAAAAAAAATAGTGTAAAACTTCCTAAAATAACATAAATATAATGTTTGATTATTATACTTCTTTCTTTCATTTCTGTTCAAAATGATTATTTAATCTATATGTATGTTTTATAAAAAACATCGAATAAAATGTTATATCGTACATAAGCGTCTTTCTTTTTAATGAGCGATGTTGCATCCTATAGATGTACTTACTTGGAAAAATTACGACTCGAGTTAATTCAAATTCAAATTCACACAACTCGAGTTACGCAACTAGAGTTAATAAGACGAAACACTTGATTTGTTACAATTACTTTAAAATATCGATTCAATAAATATATATATATACTTTTTTACTTGTCCATCTCTATGATTGAGTAAGGCCGTAAAATCAGGGTAGTGTAATACAGAGGCAGCACTAAAAGTATCGGGAACTTTAGGGGTATATGTGTTCTGTGATCGGGAATGGAATATTTCCACTGTTCCTCTCTTATTAAAATCTTTTTATTTATTTAAAAAAAGATTCTCGGTCTTGTCACAAAGTTTTGTCAAACTTGTTTAGTCGTTGAGAAAATGGAATTGACTCGAGAAAATTCAAGAGCGATGATTTATTATGACTTTCGAAGTGGTTTAACACAAAAACAGTGTGTTGACCGGATGATTTCTGCGTTTGGTGATGAAGCCCCATCCAAAACCACAATTTATCGCTGGTTAGCTGAATTTCAACGTGTCAAGCTCAGTGATGATCCCCGTCATCCCTCAGTCATTCGAGAAAACGTTGATTCTGTGCGTAAGCAAGATCAAACAAAATCGGCAACTTTAGACATTCCATGAGTCAATACAAATAATATTGCATAAACAATTAGGTGTAAAAAAGTTGCTTTCCCGATGGATACCGCATTGGCTCTGTGAAGAGCAAAAAGCGGCTCGCGTTACTTGGTGCGTCAGAACTCTCGAAAGATTCCACCATCACCCATCCACCATCCATCATCCCCACCAGCTGGCTTGGTGTCGGCAGGGTCTTCGCGGGGCCAGCAATCAGCACCCACCACAGGGATGGAGTGGAGTACGCCACATGCATTGGATAACCCAGATAAACAGCAACGCATTTCGGGCGTATTTTAGGGCGAAAGGGGGAGAAATTGGAGGTTTTGCGTATCGGGCAAGGATGCATCGACTTTTTGCTGACCTGGAGCCATCTGTAACCGTCACCGAGCGAAACCTGGCGGACCGAGTTAGTTATATCTTGCGCTCAAATATATTTGATGTTACCGAACTCGAACGGCTACGACGTGAGGCTGTTCCTTCATCGGGTGAAAATGCTGCGGCTGAGGATGTAGCGCCACAACTTGCAGAGCGAACGACAAATGTGGATGCCACCGTGAATACCCCAGTTGTGGTTGATTCAAACGATGGTGAAACAGTCGCCCAGGAACTGGAACTAGAGCAAATGAGGAGTACATTGGAGGAGGCAATTGTGGTAACGCACAGTACGCCTCTCAAAAATCGATTGCGACATCCCCGCATAGGCCTAAGCAAGCGGAATTGGGCTGTCATGAGGGCTCTGAACCCAATGCTGGTAACCTATTCGGAGCCAGCCGGGATCTTTGCGAGACGGACAAATCTTTTTGGCACCGCACTGGCAGTCTACCGTGTTATAGGCGCCAAACTTTCCACGGTCAGACGCACTACTGGACAAAAACAAATTAGTGCTATCCTATCCTGGAGAATAAGAATTGAAGAACGTATCGCAAAGGCCAGGGCCCTCATCGGCAGACTGATATGCTTCAGGTCAGGCAATACCAGGCCAAAGATTGTGTGCATTGTCAGGATGGCGTTAGCTGGGACAAATGTTAGTTTGTCCCAGCCGGATATAATGCAAAAACTCCACTGAGAGGTCGACACGGTTCAACCACAATCGGCTCTTCCAGAGTGATCAGAAGAGGCTCCATAAATCATTAGATCGACCAATGGTAAGTGGAATGGGTACAGCACCGAATCAGGCCGACACGGTCGGATTCTGGCGCAGCCTGTGGTCAGAGCCAGCCAAAGTTGTGGCGAGTCAGTGTACGGGTATTACGCCCATAGACTCCGTCATCATAACGCCGGATGACGTAGCTGAGGCGGTTCGTAGGGCCCCAAACTGGAAAAGTCCGTGGCTTGACGGGCTGCATCACTACTGGCTGAAGGGGTTCGTGGTGGTCACGCTGTGTTCGCCCGACAGTTTCAAGAGGATGCCACAGGCTCGAGCCATTACCGCCCCATCACTTGTCTACCGACCATATACAAGACACTAACATCCATTTTGAGCGCGAGAATCACTTGTTACCTGGACTCAAATCAGGTTATATCGCGCGCTCAAAATGGATGTTGGGGCAGCGGTCGTGGAACCAAGGAACCACTCCTCATTGACGCGGTCATTGGTAAAGTGGTGAAACGCAACCGTCAGAACTTCTCTGCCGCCTGGATAGACTACAGAAAGGCATTTGACTCGGTGCCCCATACATGGCTAAAGAGGGTCCTCGAGCTGTACAAGATTGACTGTAAAGTTCGAGACTACCTCGGGCAGTGTATGGGGCAGTGGATTACTATCCTCTGTCATCTAGGCGAGTCGATAACGGCTGCGGAAAGCCGCATAAGGATAAGAAGGGGTTTATTCCAGGGCGACTGTCTGAGTCCAATCTGGTTCTGCCTCTCTTTGAACCCTCTCAGTACTTTACGGGAGGGGTTTCAGCTTCGGAAGGGAGGTTTAAAAGTGACCCACCTTTTCTATATGGATGACCTAAAATTATTCGCCTCCAGTCGCTACCATCTTATGGAACTGCTAAACATCACTTGTGAATTTAGCAATTCTATTGGAATGGAGCTGGGGACGGATAAGTGTGCGGTCCTCCATGTTGAAAGGGGAAGGGTTGCTAACTCTGAGGGCATAGACTTATCTATGCCGGCAACTTAAGGACCCTTTCCGAGGCTGAAACATACCGATACATGGATATGCCACAGAACATCGGTATCGATGAGGCTGGTATGAAACAGTCAGTTTGCGACATGTTTTATGCACGCTTGACCAAAGTGCTTAACAGCCTTTTTTCCCGTGTGAATAAGACACACGCATATAACCGCTGGGTCATGCCTATCCTCATGTATAACTTTAGCATACTTAGGTGGACTCAGACTGAACTTAATGTCCTGGATAGAAACATCCGCACTACCATGACGTCCCATAGGATGCATCATCCGAGATTGTCAGTAAATAGGCTGTACTTGCCGAGAAAGCATGGTGGGCATGGCTTCTTGAGCGCGCTCACCATGCATAATCGTGAAGTGTGCAGCCTCCGTCATTACTCTCTCGAGAGAAATCGGATGTCCCATTCTATAGAGACGTCATTTCTAGTGATAAAGGGCTTACCCCTCTATCCTTAGCCAACGAGCAATGGCAGGACCCAGCAGTACATAGCATTTCCGACCGGGAGACCGTATGGGAGGAGAAAAAGCTCCACGGGAGGTAATACAGGGCTCTACATGAGCCCTACTTAGATACAGTCGCCTCCCTCAACTGGCTACGTTTCGGTGACCTCTTCGGGGAAACCGAGGGTTTTATATGTGCAATACAGGGTCAGGTTATTAAGACCAACAACTATCGGAGATACATCCTAAAGGATGTCACTGTCGACGTCTATCGAGCTTGTCGCCATCCCGGGGAGTCACTTAGGCATGACATCTCCGGTTGTTCGGCGCTTTCTAACTCTGAGTACTTGCACAGGTACAAGCTAGTAGCCAGAATTCTACACTAGGAGCTCGCTCTGAAATACGGTCTCGTGGACCGGAAATTGCCGTATTACAAGCTCTTGCCGGAAGCCGTGCTCGAAAATGACCGCGCCAGGTTCTACTGGGACCGGGCCATCATCACAGACAGGACTATTCCTGCGAATAAGCCTGATATTGTGCTGATGGACCGGGCACAGTCAAAGATATTTTTGGTCGACTTTACCATTCCGTATGACGAGAACCTCGTGAAAGCCGAAACAGATAAAAGAACAAAATATCTGGACTTGGCTCACGATGTGACCGACAAGTGGGGTTGTCTGCCGGCCGCAATTATTCCTGTAGTCGTCTCTGCGAATGGGCTAATCCCAGTCAGCCTCTCGGGACATCTAAAGCGATTGGGACTCAGTGACGGACCACTCCGGGCTTAAATGCAGACGGCGGTGCTCCTCGATACCGCCCGCATCGTCCGCCGGTTTCTTTCCCTTTTCTTACCCTCGTCTGGTTGAATCTTTATTTATTTATGTATTTTTTGTATTTATTTTATTTTATTGATATTTATGTATATTTATCATTTCATTTTAATTTATAATTATATATTTATAGAAACCAACCATATGAGAAAACTATATAGATACCCCAAATAACAATTGACATATGTCAAAATATGAAAGATTATACTCTTGTGTAGGGATGGCGATCTGAGATCGATTAATCGAAGAATCTATTTCTTGTGTGATAGAGATCGATTTTTTATATCGATATATACTACTGAATTAATCCAGTGAATCGATATTTCACCCTAGAAAATCGAGGTCGAATCTTTTTCTATTTTTATAAGAACTGTCAAATTACACAATTATTTTAATGACCCACATTCGTAAAGAATGGTAGTTTTTCAATTCAAAAACTCGCGAAACTGGTTTGTACTCAGTTTCTTTCGTCTCTTCTTAATGGGTTAAAGAAATAAAATGTAAGTTAAGTTTGTAATCTGTACTTTCTTGTATATTTTGATATTGTAATTATAAACTCTGAAAGCTTTCAGAAATCTTTTAGACTACGATTTTTTTGTGAATCGATTCATTAGATCTCATGTTATTGTAATCAATTTAATTTTATAAATGTAGAATTTTCATTAGTATTCCAAATTCAATTATTTCTATTCTATTTTATTTTATGACATGATTTTTCAAATGAACTCAATTATATTTGTATGTCTTTAAGACAAAACATATATTGTATTTGCACACCTCATAAGGTAATAATACAGTGTACATATTATAACTTTTCTGTAACACCTTTTATACCTGTGTTATGCAAATAAATGAATTTGAATTTGAATTTGAATCAATTCAAACCGATTTAAAAATCGATCTTTTTAGGAAAGAATCGCCATCCTTACTTTTATTTATTTATAGGCAAGGGGATCTATACCAATACAGCCATATGCTTTAAATGTCTGTTCTAGTGAAAGTGGAAATGATGTAAGAAGTTCTACGATGATGTTATAAATAACAAGTTTTGTATTATCGTCTTCAATCATCAATATTTGCTGAGAAAGCGTCTCGTCAAAAATCTCTCATAAACTTTGCAATGTGGCGATGCATCAGTATATTGTAAAAAAGTAGGTTAATCAAATAGATCGGATTATGTTGTATCGTCTAAGAAAGTAGCCTGTCTTGAAAGACTAATCATAAAAATAATAATATCTCTCACAATCTGATCCAGTATATAGTTATCTGTGATCTGAACCATAGATAAATAAATATGTAGCAAGCTAACTGAAATGAAACTAGAAAGGAGTTTTGGCGGGAACTTAGCCGTCGACGGATTGTCACTTGAATAAAGGTTTAAAGTGGATTTTGATTAGTAAAGGTAATTCGAAATTGTAAATAAATATCTACATGTGTGAACTATTGGAGTAAACGATGAAACAAGTGCTTTGATGTTGATATAAACCTCAAGTTATTTTGATTGCTTGGGCCCCTTATAAACTTGAGTACCTGTCGTCATCAACTGTCCCTTGGGTTGAGCTGCCGAAATCTCTTAAAAACTTCGCAATGTGACGCATCAGCATATTGTGAAGAAAAAAATATATAAAAATGAAGATTCCGTAAGGAGTGATAGGCTCAGAAGGGCTAGAACCCAGAGCCGTAAAGACAAAAATACGTGTGGCACTCGGGGACTGCCGCGGTAAAGCTAGCATAGCATTTCTTATCAACTTATGCATTATAATTATGTATTTATTTTATTTATGCAGTATTTTTTTATATATTAATTCAAGTTTTTTTTTCTTTGATATTAATTCAAGTTAAACTTTTTGAGCGTGGTGACCGATAAGAAAACAATTTTTTTTATTTAATGAATAAATGAGAAGATAATATTGCTTAAAATATTTTTATTATCTTACAATACTAGTAGGTCTTTTCGCACGCACACAAACACCGTGTCGAAATCTGTCAAACTGAAATGACGTTAGACGATGCATGGCTTTCAACGTCACACCGCTGTGCCGGTCAGAGTGGGGGTTGTTAGGTTTATTTTCGTTACGGAATTTCTTGATTCGATCGCCGAGCTCAAAGCCCGCGATAAAAGCTATGCAATAGTTTGAAATGAATCTATAGAACATGGAGTATGGAGTGTAGAGGTAAGGAGAACAATCTTTTATAGGTGAATATTTGAAAAAGTGTCTATCTGTAAGCAATAAATAACAGTTCAAAAACTTTCCACAACAGCCCTGGAATAGCTGCTACACGAAACAGCTACATGATTTGAAATTAGCAGTTGTCGACGGTGTGAAGTATGCTGCTAAACCGCTCAGTAGCTCTAAAATCTAAAATAATTTAATTTGGTAAATATAACCTCGAAAAAGTCGTCTATCCGACTAATATTTTTCGGCGCGTTCTTAAAAATTTACTCCTTAGCTATAGTGGCGCTATCCTTATTTAACGTTTTTCTCATGTAGGTAGGAGAACGATCACTACGTACTAAATATAGCATAGCTCCCTTGTCCTTGAAAATTGTAGTGTTTATAGCGGCGCTAACGTCGGTGCGTAATGACTGCGAAGTTAGCTGTTTATGAGTACAAGTAGATGAAGCTAGTTGAATAATGTACAAATTTTCTTCGCGCCATTGGTGAGAAAATTTTCATACTCCGTAATTTTGTAATTTTTGACCAAAAGAAACATTAAAAAATTGAGAAATATTTTATTGTACGTGGATGTGCAAGTGGGCTTAGTATCTGATTGGAAAAATAGACTGAAAATGACTTTTATTTACCGAACTTAGCGATTGCAGCGCCTCACTTATATTGACCATATTTCTGGGACACTATTTTCTACGGCGATCGTTCTCCTGTTCTCTAACCTCCATGGGTTTTCTACGGACACTTTTTAATACATAGTCTGTACTCCTTACCTCTACACTCACGCCATGGAGGTTATGTCTGCAGTACACTACTCGCAAAGTTGAACGAAGTTAGGCAAAGACCTGTTTACGGGCTTACCAGGGCATACTTCGCTTCACTTTGGGCAACCTCGCCTCGCCTAGGGTGACTTCCAATCGTTGTCGGTTTTTTCCGACCAAGTTTCGAGCACGAAGTGATTCTGTACACCTGTACATTACTCGGCTTACTTTTATAAAGTAAACGTTGTGCTGTATAATTTAAAAAGTTTTAAAAGTGGTTTTTGTGGAAACTTACAAGCATCTTTGAAAAGTGGGGATGTGTTTATGCATGCATCACAATTGACAGATAAAAGCAGTGTTTTCATACATGAAAAGGGTAAGGTTGAGTTGCTTATGCCTGATATTATTAATAATTTGCCAGCTGCCAATTTAATAGCTGAGAAAATAACAGTTGATGACAAAATCTTGAAGCTGGGAAGGTTTATGGATGACTCACATCCAAAACGATTTAGGCTTGAAAGAGATTCTCACAGTGAATTGCATATAGTATGACTCAATGGTACCATTGAATTGAAACGGGCATACTTCGCTTCACTTCGGGCAACCTCGCCTCGCCTAGGGTGACTTCCAATCGTTGTCGGTTTTTTCCGACCAAGTTTTGAGCACGAAGTGATTCTGTACACCTGTACATTACTCGGGTTACTTTTATAAAGTAAACGTTGTGCTGTGTAATTTAAAAACGTTTTAATTCGATCCAAATAGCTTAAGTCAAAAATTGGTCACATCAGCAAATACTATACTTTTTGGAGCTGCTTCAGGGGGAAATGGTAATATGGGACTCTGGGAATAATAATAAAAAATATTTTTTTTTGAATCCAATTACGCACATAGTTAAAATACGCAACACTGAACAAAGCAAACTTATCTGCCACTTGTACGTCCTCCATCTCGCCTAGCGTGTGAGCGACGAGTCCCTCACGAAGTTGAGCGAGTGTGTACGGAGGCTCCTCGTACCTCCTCTGACCTAGGCGAATACTTGGGTGAGGAACTTCGCGAGTAGTGTACTGCAGCCTAGCACAGAACACATATACCCCTAAATAGAGAACTTCCATGACTCACGCGCTCGCGCGTCAGGAAAGTGTCTAGCAAAGAGTATAATAAGTATATACAGGATATCAACTGTCAACGTCAATCGTAAATGCCGGTCGGTCGTAGACTAGTATACAGTGATCTGTGCCGGTCGGTGTCAACTGTCAATTAAAAAGCCGTAGACACTACTTTAATTAAAATTCTATGATTTTTATTGTTTTCAACCAAAGTATAATGTTAGAATAATTAGCACAAGGTGATATCCAAGCATAATGTTTGTATTAACAAGGCACCGTGTCTTATATAAGTGCCTCAAAATTTTGAGGTTAACTGTAGTAGACTTTAGTAATTTGCCCGATATAAAAAAGTTAAACATTGTGAGAACAGTGGAAAAAACGATAGATAATAATACAAGCATCTTTATAGAGAGTCCTATTCATGTTAAGGTACAACCCATAGATGTGAATGATATTAAAGTCCACAACAAACTTACAATGACTTTGTACAGTGAAGGCAATGATGCAAGTGATTTTCAAGTAAAACAGACTTCTAAACGGTTAGAACTACTGAATAAGAATACTTCTTCAGATAGGAATGACGTTTGCGTGATCCAAGTGCCATATAAATTGAATGTTCAAGTCACAACAACTGATAGTGCTTCAGTACATTTAGCAAAATTGGAAGGACCAGAATTTGTTGTAAAAACCCAAAAAGGAAATGTGAACATTGCAGATTTAAAAGCCGATAATATTAAAGTGGAATGTACAGAAGGTGATATAGAAACAGGTGGTAGGCTTCAGGCCTCAAATATTGAATTGAAAACCAGTCTAAACTCAGGGATCAAATGTCACAACATTATGGCCAATTCTTTTATAGTAACAACACATGCTGGTCCAATTGCTGTTAAGTCATGTTACGGTGATAAATCACACTTCACTACCCTTATGGGTAATATTCGTTTGGACCACTTGCACAGATCAGTAATAATAGATGTGATTAAACAGGGCAATCTGTATATTACTGGTTTTTGTGGAAACTTACAAGCATCTTTGAAAAGTGGGGATGTGTTTATGCATGCATCACAATTGACAGATAAAAGCAGTATTTTCATACATGAAAAGGGTAAGGTTGAGTTGCTTATGCCTGATATTATTAATAATTTGCCAGCCACCAATTTAATAGCTGAGAAAATAACAGTTGATGACAAGATCTTGAAGCTGGGAAGGTTTATGGATGACTCACATCCAAAACGATTTAGGTTTGAAAGAGATTCTCACAGTGAATTGCATATAGTATGTAACAATGGTACCATTGAATTGAAAGAGACAAATTTACCATTTATTGTATAATGAGGTATTAAATTAATTTCAATTATGCTAGCAAAAATTCATATTTATTCCTATTTTTCTTTTAATTTCTTATAGTTGTGTTGTACTTTCAACTCATTATTATCATCAAGACATTGAGTGATTGAAGCTATTGGAAAATTCTATTAAAAGTGGACTGTATGCAATACTAATATTATACATTATATTATGTTACTAAAACTGTGTAAGTGTAATATTGTTCTGGTATAAATACATTTTATCATAAAATTTTCTGATACAAATAATTATTTTGTTATTTATATGGTTAAAATAGGTTCATTAAATATGCCAGATATCTGTTAGTTATTAGTTCCTGTTTACGTTTCTCTATAAACAAACATTTTCTGTTTTTCTCTTTATTCTATTCTATTTTGGCTCATTTTTCGTATTGTATGCAAATAGGTGTTTCAGGTCTGTGCATTTCCATGTGACAATTTAAAATTAAGGATGTCTCCTCAATAAATTACTAATATGGCCGGCATCTTTCTGTAGAGGATAATAAAATAAAAAATTTGTGTTGTATACTGAATGAATGTAGTCAGCCTTTTTAAGTTCTTTAAATTAATTATTGGTTTCATATTATAATAATATATATAAAATATTTTTGTTATCTTGTGACTGAAATTCGAATTTTACTTACATTACCAGTAATAAGAAAAATAAAAAGACTTATTCTTTCAAAATTATTAATATATAAAACTCATACTCAATATCTGTATATTTTTATTTTATTTGTTAAATTAAATCAAAAAATTTAAGCCAATGCATGTATCCCGGAGCGTTTATATGTGATATTTGCTGGAGCATTTACATTTTATGATATTCTACTAGGTATAGGTCTTATCTGTTCTCTTCAAAATGGTTTTTGGGGCAAGAATGAGTAACATCCAAGAGTAAAACAATTGAACTACAAGTAATAGGTGTACCATGATTAATGTTATTAGTTGAAGCTTTTCTCATTAGTATGTTTTTATAAATCGCCATAGTTATACAATAATATCCAGTATATCTCTATGTCTTCCATGAGACATCTTAACATGAAATTTTTTTTAAGTAAATCTGTCTGTCATACCAAAAAAGCAAATAATTTTTGAAAATTTTGTTGTCTGTTAGTTAGCCTGTCTGTCCAGGCTAATCTTTGGAGGAACCGATTGTAATCGAACTTCTTATACCAACAGCAATATTGAGCGTGATGTAGGCTATATTTCATTCAGAAAAGAAATGGTTTTTGATGATTATCTCATAAACTAAACTATAAGAGATCTAAAAAAAAGTTATGAATAAAGCTTTTTGATAAAAGCTAGTAAACAATATTTATATTTATAATGCATCATTAATCATATTTTTTTATTATAATAAGGTATAGTTATTGTAAACAACTGTAGTCTGCTTTAATGTAATTTTTCATAAATTATATAAACAATTTTTTGATACCTTTATGTTTAGAATATTTGAAAGTTTAAAAATTCCAAAATTATGTTAAATATGTTGCGGTATTAAAATCATTCAATATATTATATGTAAAATGTTACTTAAAACTTTCTAAACAAATAGAATGTTAACTGATTAATAGTATGATAGCTTTATAGTACTATTTCCTATAATTATTATTTATATGAGTATTAAATTTTGAAATTCAAATTTTTAATTCAACTATTATGTGAATTAATGTAAATTATGTATTATTATTTGCTCAATCTTTTTCACAAAATAAATCATAAAGCATCATATAAATACTGTTTACCTTCTCAACAATATTTGAATATATAATAATAGCAATGTTAATTAAGATAAATAAAAGTATTTAATAACATGTTATGGTTAATTTTTAACTGTTGCAAATTGTATAACATATTTATAACCATTAATATTATTACTATTTTATTATATAATTTTGAATAATAATGATCATTTTATTTTTATAAGCTATGGTGAAAGTTTGTGATTGTGTGACAGGCAGATTTCTTTTCATGGTAACTAAAATGAAAAGTTCAAAATATTAGTAATTTTAATTTTTTATTTATTACGCATTTATCTTAGTTTGAATTAATTAGTGTTAGTGAGTTGTTTCTATTCTAAGGTTTGAATTAATTAGTTGTGACTGTAACATCTTTGGTATTAATCGTGATATGATTCTGCACACTGAATCCATATCAATTTCATCTTATTTATTCTTAGTAGGTACACAAAATTATTTTCATAGGTCATCAATGACAATTTGTTTTCTCTTCTTTCGTCTTTATTTATGATAGATTTCCTGCCTTATACAAAATGTAGTTTTTATATTTTAGTTTTTTAATTATAATATTAAAAACCTTCAAGCTATAATAGATAATGTATTATAGAGGTATTTGGGTCTAATGGTAATTGATTGGCTTTAGTTTGTGTTGGAGGACTTGTGGTAAGTAATATAAAATTCTGAAATACTGTATAATACTGTATGATAATGAGGAAAATAATAATTTTCTGCTCACTAGATGGCGCTTATTGGGTCATGGGACTGAGGTGGAATAATTTTATACTAAAAGTTTTATAATTTTTGGTGTATATGCACAAAATAATACCTTAGTGGTGTGCTCTATAATTTTTTTCCGCATTTCCCTTTTTATTCCTCTACTTATATATTCATAGTTTGGTTTATCCGTTTCTAATTTAATTAATATAAAACTTAACTTTGTATTAATTATTTTAAGAAAAAAAAAAACATTGAACTTTATACTTTTCTAGCAATGTAATTTCCCCGCTATGAAATCTGTCAAATATTTCACTTCATTCCAAAGTAGCGCAGTTTTTATTAGGTACATGTATTGAAAAGTGAACACTAGACACTTCCAACCAGCTGCAAATAAAAAAGTTTACCCTTTTGTCTCCTTCTAACCTAGAATATAAATGTAGGTGGAACTGCTGCTTAATGGATGAGCCAGATGCCGCCAATGCAGGAAATAATTGTTGCAGTTTTATCATCACATTTCGAAGTTTAGAAATTATTGCCTATAACCATCTGTAAAAAATAGTTTTGATTTGTAAATATTGTGTTGTCTAGATTTAATCGTCGTCACACCATTTTTAAATGTATGTGTATTTCGGACAGTGGTAAATAGGTATTTTATTTTTAACAAGAGAGAAGGCCGGGTTCAAGTTGATTAGTAGGCATTTACTGAAGATTGTCTAAATATATCGATATATCCATGTAGTGGTTGAAATATTGTTGACAATTATATTGAAGTTGTTCCATGATAAAGAATATTTTATTAACCCTTATGATTTTCAATTCGTTTTCAGTGTTAAAGTTTCGGTCATAATATTTTTATATAAATCCAGTGTGCGTTCCTAATTCTTTTGCTAAATGGCTTCACTGATTTTGATGACATATTTATTGGGGTACTACTAATGGGTCACCTGGATGGTACTTTTAAGTGGCATAGTAGTAGCACGAATGGACCGGCTTGACAAGGTAAGGATCACGCTCTCAAAGAATACTGCTGCTTTGTTTCGTATGGTGAGTGTAGAGAATCGAAGATCCTTTTTACTACAAACGTGGCATTCCATCTTAGACCTCATGTGTGACAACACATCTGTATTTTGATTCATAATCGAGGATAGATGTAGATGTCTATGGCAGTCTATGGGCCACAGAAACTTACTTGTTTGGTTAGGTCTTAGACCACTAATTGAATGGTCTAAGGGTTAGGTGGACTGTGTTCTCGGTTGTCACCTTTATTCTATAAAAAATCTTATCAGTTCTCACCATCGGATAGTGCTGTTGTCGAGATTTAGAAATCACCCATGCAAAGCCGAAGCTGATTGCTAGCATACCTTTATAATGAAGGAAAATTTCGATCAAAGAATAGGTTAGAAAACACTGTCATTAAATGTGTACTTATATTTCTAGGCACATACTTCACTTATTATTGAAAGGAGCTTTAATAACGGATCCGGATAACTAATTGCTCATGAATTATTTCCCGAATTTGTTTACTTTAAAAAAAAATAGACAATCGTTAATTGTTCTAATCGTTAATTTCTCGGGGAGCGCGGCGCTGGTTTTAGCGATAAGCGGTCGTTTATATGCGGTGGCGGGATGCGCGCGCGTCAGTTTACCGCCATGCCGGCTTGCGCGCCAGAGTACAGCCGCCTCGCGCGATCGCACAACGAACTTGTGTTACCTACCCGAATCAAACGATGCTCTCACCAACCGCCTCCATTTACGACCCTCAGACGCTCGTTTTCGTCGACATTTTCGCTAATACCGGAGGAACGCGCCGTGTCACCTGAAAGACCACCACAGATACCCAGGCTCCTGCGCATAATCACCTGGTTCCCACGCCTGTGTTTGCGGCCGTTGTTTGCCTTGATGAGCATCGTCACGCATCCTGCTTGGAAGCAAATACTCGTGGTCTTACCTACTTTGTGGATTGCAGCAACGCTATTCATTTTCTGGAAGTGTGTTCAGTGTCCCGTTGGAGTTCTTAAAATGCTCGGACGCGCTATCTCTAAAGATTCGAAGAAACAACGCACCGTATTGATTAGTGGAGGCAGTTCGATTCAGGCGTTGCAATTAGCGAGAAACTTTCATTCCGCTGGCGCGAGGGTTGTCGCTTTCGAGATAGAAGGGCAATTTGCCCTGTTAAAATATTCAGCAGCAGTTAATAGATTTTATACAGTGCCGAGACCTAACCCTTCGGATCCACTGGCATACGCGCGTGCCCTAAAAGAAATTGCGGAAAGGGAAGCTGTGGTGTTTTACGTACCAGTGAGTTCAACAACGCCGGCCTATTATGACGCTTTGTCTAAGCCGCACCTAGAAGTGATAGGATGTCAGTGCTTCGTGCCAAGTGCTCGCGATGTTGTAGTTTTGGATGACCCACTGGAGCTAATTCGAGTGAGCCGAGCTGCAGGACTTTCCACGCCGCATTTCTGGGTCGTGACAAGCGAAGATGATGTTAGGGCTTGGTATGAAAGCGGTGCTTCGAAAGAAGGGC